GTGCCGCATTTTAAATGGGGGGGGAAAAAAAACTGTCGGTGTATGTAAGAAAGACTCGGACTGTGGTAACTTGTTTTCGCTGGCAGGGTTCCCAGCCAGCAAAGCAAGGGATCTGTTATTTGTGTTTAACTACAGGGTGTCCACAAAGTCCTGTTACTCCCATATTGTTGGCCTACAGTACACTGACTAACAACTGAAACATGTGGAAGAATGACGTGATACATCAAATATAAGGAGTATTCTTATTATTATGGGTTCAAACTCCACATCGGGATTTGAGCTCACATAATAGTCCTTGCATTTGATATAGCGCCTTATCACGTTTTCGCCTGATCACGTAGTCTGGATTGACAATCCAGCGCAGGGCTGACTGTCTGACACAATGTTAAAGAGACGTTAAACAGTTAAACCGAGGTCCCGCCCGCCTGCTCGAGTGGACATCAAGGATCCCATGACACCGATTGAAATGAGAAGAGAAATTCTCTCGGAGAATTATAGCCCACAATTCCTCCAGATATAATCAGTTGTTTACTTCGTGGCTGTTTGTGAGGCATCGCTGTGCGCAAATTGGCTGCTGAATTTTACTTACAAACAGTCACGTTCCCTTCGGTTAAATTCTGCGAAGTGCCAAGAAATGTGAAAAGGTGCGAAACCTACTCCAAGGAATTATCATCGTCACAAATTGGATGGCTTGATGCGAAAACATGTTTAGCAAAAGACACCACAGCCCGAATGGAATGCTTTCTGCGCTGTAACGTACTATTGCTCGAAAAGGTTCTTTTTTTTAAAATAAAGAAATCATCCTAATTAATTTAGTGCCCGGTGTGCGGCACGTTTAGCTACGTGAACGTACGTGCCCGACAGCGTGTAGAATTTTATCAACTCCCTCGAGATTTAAAAAAAATCATTGGTCATCATCACTTCATGGCTGTTTGTGGGATAAATGCTGCGTGCAAACTGGCTGTCACGTTCTCCTACAAAATACACGGTTACAACACATCACCGTAAAATTCTCTTATAGAAAAATACATTTCAACAAGTGTGGTCGCTCAATCCACGACTGTTTGTGGGACGCCGCTGTGCGCAATTGGGCCTTTTCGCTTGCGCGTTTCGGCCACAAAATAGTCGATTCTCTCTCCGGTATATTCTGCGAAACTCTTTTGAGGTGTTTCAATGTGATAAGCTGCTGTATCAAATTATTATTATTAAAAACAGAAGTTGGCTGGGAACGCTCAGCGGGTCGGGCAGCATCTATGGAGAAAGGAAAGTGAGTCAACGTTTCGGGTCCACGACCCTTCGTCAGAACGGTCTCAGATTTCCAGGACCTGCAGTGGTTTTGCGTTTTTATTGTTATTAAAATCCTGCGAAGCGCTTTCGAGACATCTTGACGAGCTGATGAGGCACCAAATCCAATGTCGGGATTGTTATTTATTGCACGACTGTGAGATTTTTCGGCGTTTTCGAGCTGGTGCTTTATCGCAGAGTCCTCCGGGAAAGGTCCTGCTGCTGGGTTCGATAGTAACACGATAGAAACAATAGTTACGTAACCGCAGGCCCGAGTTCCTCTCCCAATTGCTGTCAGCCGTAGAACATCGTGAACGCCATGTGCTCACAGAGGGCGCTCCCGAGATTTGGGCTGTTTGCCTGTTTTCTGGAACATTTTTTTGAGCTGGTGGGGGGGGGGGGGGGAAGGGATTCTTATTGTTATCCCTGAATGCAGTGGTTATGTACCTCAACATTAAATTCTTTTGACCGGATAGTGCAGCAGTGGTGGAGCTTTCCACTTGTACTGGCGCAGCAGCTCATAGCAATTGCGTAATCATTAACTTTCCTTCCTTTTGTGTGTGGATTTCTACTCTTTTTTTTCTCGAGCCTGACGTTCTCCGACACGCCTGTGTGCGCTGCGCGCGTGGGGTCGCAGCTTTGTTCTCTCTCTTCGCTATCGAGTCTAATTTTGATGCACTGAGACAGGAGATCAAGAGGCCGTGCGTTATAGTTCCAAAGGACCGTTTCAGGGCAGGCACCCGGAAATGTTTCCTTGTCCAGAGGGTAATCGGAAAAGGTTGCCAGGTGTTGTCAGATCGATTTCGAGATCCTCATTCGTTTTCAAATCCCTCCACTCCTCTGCAACACCCCCCACCCACCCACCTCTCTGACCTCCTCGCTCCTCACAACAGTGCCCGTTGCCTCCACTCCGCCGGGTCTGGCTGGTGGTCTCATGAACATTTTGAGTCAGGTCAACGGAGTTCATATATTTTTAAGTTCAATTTGTATATCTGATATTTTAGATGTATTTATTGGTATGAGAGTAACCTGAAATGATTGTTCTGCACACCGAAACACGGGCACTTGATTCACGCGGTGCCTTACGAGCTCAAGAAACCTAGGTGAAGCCCCAACACAAGTCGGGCAGGACAAAGCCAAGGTTGAAAAGCTTTGGAAAGATTAATCAGAATTTTGGACAAAGTTAGCACTTGGAACTCATAAAGTCTACGATGACAATCCAGTGAGATGCTGGGGGAGTGCAATGCTCTTGGAGGTACAGTCCTTTAGGTGAGATGTTATAATAATAATAATAATAATAATAATCCTTGCATTTGATATTGCGCTTTTCACGTCGGGAGGACGTCCCAAAGCGCTTCACAGAACACACTGTAAAGTGAATTGACTGTATATTTGTGGGCGAACGCGGCAGCCAATTGCGCACAGCAATGTCCCACAAACAGTCATATGGATTGAAAATGACCAATTTATTATTGTTTTTGGTTTTGGAGGGATTATTATTAGGCTCTGTGTGGAGTAAGGAAACTTGCCCAAGGTTTCGCCCTCTGCCTGGAATTGAACTCAGGTCTCTCGCTTGCAAAGCGAGTGCTCTAACCACTGAGCTACAGGACTCCACTCTGTCAAACTCTAAATGCAAGGATTATTACAATACACCCCGCTACATCAAATATCCAAGATTGAGAGGTAAGGAGTTCTACGGTTGCGAGGTCTTGGAAAGAATGAATTAGAGTTGTCGATGGTTTGATATCGGATAACAAACATATTGGCTGGACCATATGGTACCTCGTAATTGAAGCTTACGAGGAACAAAAGGGGAAAGTTCAGAGAAGCAATGATATTGTAACATCATACACGCACTTGAACGACGCTTAACAAATGTAAAATTGTTGCTTGTTGGACTGGAGATAGGTTGCCATAGACCAACTATCAGATGTGTTATCCTTTTTTAAGTTCTTCACCGCTTAGAAAAGTGCCTCAACCCCAGGCTGCCCAGGTATAAGAGCAGACATCGGCTTGACAGAGCATTAAAAATTGTTGATATAAACGTTGTTGAGAGTCCTGTAGGGTATTTGTTAGAGCGCTCGCCTCGCAAACGATAGGACCTGGGTTCGATTCCCGGGGAGGGCGAAAATGAGGCAAGTTTCCTTACTCCACACGCCTGTTTACCCAGCAGTAAATAGCCACCAGGGTGTTAAGTCGATTGGCGGATTACTTTACCAGGGGTAATAATCCCTTCAAAAAATAATAATTTGGCACTCGATCCACTATTATAACAGCTCCCAGCAGCACACTTCCAGTTAATCCTTTTAAAAAATAATCCTGTAGATCATGGGTGTTCATGAGTTGGTGAAGGGTTATTACAGATGTGGTGTTCTGCTTAGTGCGTTCCACATATAGTTAACACACAAGGATTACACTTAAGGGCTATTTCTGGGTGTTTGGTCCCCAGCGTGGGTATTGCACACTTAAAAAAAAAACCTCAACAACCGCGGCCATTGTTGTACAATGCTGGAACACGAGGCAATCTGACGCAGCCAGACCAGCAGCGTCCGTACACGGCAGACGCCTGGGTGATGAACAGATGACGAACGTTTGCGACAGTACCACAAAACATGTACAGAGCGATAATCGCTGTTAATTGCTGGGAAATAACAGTCAGCGTGTCCTGAAACTCATTACCCCGTTCCGAGCTCGAGGCAATTCCAATCTCCCCGGAGTCTGCCATTCCTTAAAGCAGCGCGATGCTGAAACAAAGACTATTACATTAACATTGTGGCTAAATATCAGCAGTACAATTATTACTGCCGTCAAAGAAAATCTAAATCAATCCAAATAAGCATTTTTTTTTAATTTATCTTTTAAAATTCTAGTGACTTACTCCCAACCTCTTTTCATTTCATCTCTCAGCTTTGGCTCATCGCTTATTGTTCCGGCAAAGAAGATTATTTTCCCTCCTGTTTAAATTCCATTCTCGATTCTAATTTGTTAGCAAAACAAAATATTTCGAATACTTCTCTCGTCAAAAGACTTTACTGAGCGCTGGCGGAGGTGGCAGCGTTCTAGTTTCACACGTCATACCTGTGCCTCACATTTACTGGGGAAAACTTGGGAGGTAAATCCATCCGATATTACACAGTTCAAGCAGTTAACAGGACTGCTTTAAGAAAATTAAATTGGAATAGAAGCCAAAGGTTGATCCTAATTACTGTACATGTATAAACATAGCATTTATTAGGGTGTCAGACTAATTTTAATTTCACAAACTGACTGGACCGTGCCTTCGGTCACCTTCCTCCCCACCACCCCCTTGCCCTCCACCCTCCCCGACCCCCAGCTCGGGTCAGAAAGACTGATTGCCCAGCGCCTTGGGACTTCTTCCCGATGTGAAAAGCGTGATACAAATGTGGCGCTCCACAAATTCTGTTGTTGTTGTAAAAACTGATCCGCTTTTGGCTTGTTTTAGCCAAAATGGCCCGAGTGACGATGCCAGAGTCCAAACTTTGCACAACTGTCCTAGAAAGGGGGTAAGCAGCGTTCTATAGAATTAGAACCAAATTACAGCCATTTGGCCTAACTAGTCTCTGCTGATATTTATACTTCACACTAGTCTCCACCCCCTTCCTTCTACTATTGCCCCTCTATTCCCTTGACTCACACTATGGGTTTGTAGCAGATACATAACATATATAAGATTTACTTAGAACAAAACAACAAGGCACCATCTTTCATTTTATTTGTTACAACTGAGTTGAGACGTATGCCAGTATAATGCATGTGTGTTATCCTTTTTTTTAAAAAAAAGATTAGACTCAACTATAGAAAATAGAAAATAGAAGCCAAAGCAGGAACGTTTGTGAGTTTACCACATTCTGGAGGAGTTCACACTAAAGATTTGATGCAAGGTTGTGAAACCCATCTTCCAACGTTTAGTCCGTCAGAATATCGGAGAATCCAAGCAGGACCCTCTCGGGCTGTCAACCAAGATAGACCCACCTCTCCAGATGGGAAGACGAACATTTCATAGTCCTTGCCAATTATTTTTATTATATATATTTATATATAAATAAACACCAAAAGTTAAACATTCAAAGTACATTTCTGAAATACATTTATTGCCCAATGTAAACACAGAAGATGACTTAATATATTGCCAGTAAGAAAAACTTTTTTTAAAAAAAGCCCAGAATTCGCCATGTCCTAATTGAACTGCAATGCGATGCCACACTAAATGGATAAATGTGCAGTGGCTAAGCCTTACACCATGGAGTTACAAATGGCAACTGCATTAGCGATGAATCCACTTCAATGCTTTTCGTCTAAAATGATCCAGAACAGATTAATTTAATGATAATTTAAACAAAATCAGGCCACAGTCATGTTTAACAGAGTGTTTATACTGCTTAACTGGAAGAAGGTGCAATGGTGTCACCGAGACATGGAAACAGAACAGTCAAAGTTACACGTGTCTTACTTTCATGCAGCTAATAGTAAAAGTTTAAACAGCCTTTGGAATGATTCTATTTAATTTTTTTTTCCACTTTCTGCAATACCACAAACATTTACTGGTATGTGTTTTGTACCAGACACTCAGCAAGGTACAGACCCATCACAATCACAATGCCTTTTATAAATGGATTGACATGCAGTTACTTAATTCTGTCTACGGTGAGAAGGACTGTAAGCAAACAGGCAGCAACAGCTAATTACAATCCAAAACCTAACGGCTGCTGAGAAAAACTAAGTGCTTCGTTTTATTTATTTTATACAAAGTCAACTGCAAGACGGACAGCTACACAAGATATTCAGTGAACACTGATGCAGAAAGCAAAATTCACTGTAATTTTTCTGTTCATACCTACTGGTACATAAAGGTAGTATTTGGCAATTTTACATGCGTGTGGACTTATTTGGGTTAGGAAAAAAAGAAATGTGCAAATTACAAAACGAGAACTAAATGTTCATTCCATCTCTAAGGTCCAGCTCATTAGAAATCCCATTTCCCTGCTTTAATACATGATCAACATTCATTTTTTTTTAATAAAAGTAGCATACATAAGAAAAATATAAAAAAGCAGAGTTGGGAAATATTAAAAGTTAATTTTTTTTTAAAGCAGGTTTATTACCTGTCATGTCAACCCTGTCCCGAAGTACTGATCAAAACAATCACTTGGTGTAAAAGAACAAACACGAAACAAGTTACCTGGTTAAAATTATTACAGGCCGAGACAGATCGGCGAACTGATTATAGTGAAAGGAAAAAAAAACTTAAGCGTTGTAGGTTAAAATGCTGGTGCAAATGGGAAGCAAAATTCACAGAAATGTGGCTCCAAAATAAAACCAGCACGGTCTGTGAAAAGGAAGCAATCCGCTTCTTGGTATGGCTGCGGAGGAAGAGAGCGCTCTCATCTTTTCCTGCGACAGGTCCGTTTGTGTTCGGCGTGCCAATGCTCCTGCTGACATTTGATCGAGCAATACGAGGTGTTCCAGCAGCAGTGATACATTGCTTCTTCCTCACAGTTGTAGCACTGTGGGGGAAGGAAGAGAAGGACACACACATTGAGTTAAAATCCATTGCAACGCTGATTAATTGATTGGTGGAATCCCCGTTTCGATTAAAGCACAGTTGCATCGCGAAAGGCTAAACCTTTCTTTTAAAAACTTTTTTTTTTTAAAAACCCTCCTTTTTAGTATGTTGAATGTCCAGATCATCGTATCATCAACCTGTCCCATATCAACCTGTCCGCTCAGCAGGCTCCACCTCCACCGCCCGACCAGACGCGCCCCACCATCAGCTGCCCGGCCTTCAGCCTCTCTGCCCCCCACCTTTTGGAACTCCCTCCCTCGCCTCCTTCAAGTCACATCTCAAGACCCTTTTCTTCGACTGTGCCTTCGGTCACCCTCATAGCCCCACCCGCCACCCACCCAACCCTCACAACCCGCTGTCACCAAGCATAAATATTATACACGTACAGATCACATTCATCAAAAGTAGTAACAAAAACTGTGATTGACGCAGGGGATTGCCTTTAAGGACGACAAGTTTGTACAGTTAAAAAGGTGCGTGCACAAAACAAGCTGTGCGACTCAGGATCCGCAGAAATAAATATACAACTTGCTTTTATATACAATACCGCCCTTCACATGGGGTAGCATCTCGGAGCATTTAATGTATAATTTTATCTGAACAATATTCAGATTATAAATTACATCTGGGATATTTCTTTGAATTCCGGACTCGAGTTTCTCCAAGATTAGTTTTGGCAAATGTCAAATAGGTGTAAAGGTGTCGAGAGAAAAAAAACACTTAAAAAAAAGGGAATAATCCTGAAAATGTTAAGAGGTGCATCGCAGGACATGTGCCACAAGAGGGCTCTCACACATAAATGATAAATAAGTGTGTTGAACGTGAATAGAGGCAAACGTCAGTGGAGCTCGACATTCCTTTCTAAATTAAAACACATTTTTCAGGTCCACCATTTTCTAGTAATAGTGAAATCTGCTTCACAAGTTTCCATCTGAGTATTTCAGCCAAAGCAATTGTGCAGCCATGAGGTTTTTACATGAAACATTTGCAATGTAAATCAATTTCACTCACAGCAAACGTACCCATATACATATATATACATATATATATACACACATATTTTATATATATAATATATATATAAAAAAGAGTTCTGGACTGGAATTGAGGGTCTGTGGTTAATCACTTTTCCCATTCTTACACGTCTCCAGCCCGCGTCAAAGTGACAGGAGGAGACATCATGAAGTGTGGTCATTTGGGTAAGGTATTGGGAGTCTACCCCCGGGGCAGCGGAGACAAATATCGTCAGGAAAGGAGGGAGAGAGGGAGGGATTGGAAAAGCAGAACAAACATGTTCAAATGTTCTTGCGTGGTTGGAGAGGGTTCATGAAAAAAAAAGCGGTAAAACTTTCTCTCAATGATTGAATAAGAGGCAAAGAATCAGATGGTGGAGGAAGGACTGATTTTTGAAGGGTTATATCCCCCAAGCTTACTTTCCTCCCTCCTAGCCCTGGGCAGAAGTTAGCTATTCAGAAGTGATAAACATAATCAACCAACAAGGGAAATTTTTGATGTGTAGGTGGCATACATATATGGCACTCTCGACCTGGTTTAAGCACTCTGAGACGCTACCCTGTATGAGTGGTAAGTTGTTGTTGTTGGACACTTTTAAACGTGGTGGTGGGTTTCTGCATGCGTCAAACATCCAACTGAATAAAATAAATCTTTTTTGAGACCAGTCGGCTTGGAAGATTACGTACCCACTGCTTCTTTTTGGTCTGGGAGATGAACTGCTTGTGCTGTGAAGCCAGTTTTTTAATCTCTTCCATGAACTCTTCTTTGCACTTCTCCTTCACTTGCTTATACTTTCTGTCCATCTCAGCCTGCATGTTGACCACAGTCTTGCTCACCGCTTGGCGCTTCTCTTCCTCCATCTCGCTGCGCAGCTGCAAGCAATCAATCAGCACAACTCAGTCAGGCTTAGGATGGAATGCGTATTAATGTTCAAAGCAGCCATTTGATTTTATGTCCTATGGGTGGCATCCTGCTTTATTGCCGTGTGTTACTCATGTAGCAAGTCATGGCAAAATTATCGGGAAGAAACACAACATGGGTACCAAATAAGAGGTCCTCGGGGTCTTAGAATAACCAGGAAAAATGTTAAAGTTAATGTTAATGTTAAAGTTAAAAGTTAATGTTAAAGTAGAACCAGCGATTTTTAATTTCAAAATCAACGTGACATATTTCCATTTTTTNCACGTATAATAATGGAATTGGAAGTTGACCGTTATCCAAAAGCCCAGCACTTAGGTTTACAGAATCACTGACAAGCTATTCTGATCTTAGAAAACTGGTCTTGGCAGGACTAGGGGCAGAGTTTCTTCCCACTGATCTCCTGCGAACCAAAGCCCTAATGTGTATGGTTGTTCTAGCTGGACAGCATTTCAATGGCCAGCCATGTGGTTTTAAATGGTTAAAACTCCAGCCTTGCCTCTTGCCAACCTGTGCCTAATACTGCCAGGCAGCATTCGGCAAGCAGGGTGGGTCACTCTGGGAGAGAGGGCGCACTCGATTCCTGATGGGAATTTCTACGTTTGGTGCCGTTCATTGAACTCTCAGTCTAGTTTGGATACTCTTAAGCGTGGTGTAAGGAGATCGGAAGGGTTAATTGGTGATCATAATTTTGCAAAAGTCAGATGTTCCGAGGACTGGCACAGCCTAAGGAGTAAACAACCGGTAAGGTGGCAAGTTTGGACGAAACAGCTGATAACAGATAAGTGACATGCGAGCAATAAGCAGCTGTGACGTGATCACACCTGTGATAAGCAGCTGTAACGTGATCATATCTTTGACCATACATCAAGAAATGGCTGTTATCAGTCTAGCATAAACTAACGCCCAGCACGCTGCTGTGTGACAAGAGACTATTAGACCGGTTTGGCGAGAAGGAGTCTGCAGAACACAGCTGAAGATGGACCACTAGACCCTCGCTGAGGGTGCAATCTCTCCCAGAGAAGGTAATTGATCACTACCCAATTCTTGACGTTAGTTACTACTATATTAAGTACTTTAATATAGCTTGTTGTGCTATGTCTGTTTGCATTGCTATGAAGCCTTGAATCACAACCATTAAATAGAGACTCATTTGATTTGAACCATTAATTGGCCGGTTATTGTCCTGCGGGGAATCTTCTGCACACTTCAGACAGACACCCAGTTGGCCGAACAAAAATATTTGCCCTGGAAGTAAATCTGAGACTGGTTACCTTTTCGAGGGCTTCTCTCACAACTCGTTCAGTCTCTCGTTTGTGTTCCGCTTTCATCCGCTCCTTAAAATCGTTAAAAATTTTGGTGTACTTTTCGTGGCACATGTTTTGACAGGGGATGTCGTTGTTGGTCTGGGTGCCCCGGTGTAACATTCTCGGTGAGGAGGCACTTGACTTCTTGGTTTGGGTTGCAACAGAAAGCTTCTCAGGTTGGGGTGGCACTGTAGGTATTTCTTGGCTGGAACTGACAGCCTCAATTTCAGGTTCTGGTTCCTAGAAAACGGGGGAAACAGAATCTTCTTAACAACTATTCTTTCTCGCGACTTTGGAAATAAATTATCGACATGGGTGGTGGAGACAGATGAACTATAAAGGATCTCGGAAAGGCAGGTCCTATAAATTAAAAGAACGAGTGAGTATTGTGATGCCCGCGCGTGTGTGAGTATATCCCAGTGTAAGAGTGAACGTGAGAGTGAGTTGAGTGAATGGATGAGTGCGAAGGGAAGAAAGGAACAAACATCTAGTCGAAGCAGGAAACGTGCAGATGGCTTGACTACAACTATCCATTACCAACATTCAGAACGGTTTGCCCTCGGTTACACAAACAGTTAAGCAAGCTCCATGGTGTATTCACCAGTATTTAAATACAATGGAAGCTGCTTAAGCCGGACATATCGGGGCTGGACGTTTTGTCCGAACTAACCGGCGTCCGAGGATAACCTACGTTCTCTTATTACCTCTTCCCTTCCCGCTCAGCCATGTTGCCTTCCCTTCCATCGCCGTTCCCATTGGTCGCATTCCACCTCACTCTGTGGTGATCGACACCTCAGAGCCCCCGCTAATCGGTTCCCTTCCCAGTCACTGCCCCCACTTCCCCACACAGGTTGCCGCTGATTGACAGCCCAGAGCCGCCTGCAGGATGGAGTCCCGCGGTCGATTGATCGCGATTTGACTCCACCCGTCTCCGTCCCGGAAACGCTCGGGACTGAATTGCACAGAATTCACAGTGAGTTGAGGGCAGCGGCAACCACCAGCAAGAGCAGCATTTTGTTCGGATTCTCCAGGATTTTTGTCCAAATTAAAACCCGTCACATCTAAAATAGGTGAGAATGCGAACGCATGGGGGCCGGGGGTTATATCCGATTTACCCGGAGTCCGAGGTTAAGCGGCTGTTTCCACTGTCTCAGGATATCAAAGGGGAGGAAAACCCACACAAGAAGTTAAGATGACTTCAGAGCACTCCTTGTCCAAGTCAGTTTCTTTCTAACATGAGCAAACTTTGTTGATTTAGTTCTAGGGTTATGGCCAAAAACTATGTAAAAATAATATTAAAATATATAGCCAGGTTGGGCACGAGGGAGAGAGAGAGAGAGAGAGAGAAAGAGAGGGAGAGAGAACAGTGTGTCTCACTAGGTTTTGAGCACTGCCCCTTTAATGCTAGGATCTCAAATCTGATTTCCGGCCAAACAGTTCACATGAAACAAACCTCTGTGTTGGCAATTGGACAAGAAAAAGGGTTCTATATGTTTTGTAGTAAATCAGACCGCCCAGAAACATAAGCACAATTCATATGAAAATTGTCTCACAGGATTCCCCAAGTTTCACAAATCTATATAAATCCTCCAGTGAGGGGAATTTTTCAAAAAAATCAAAAGCATACAAGTCACAGTGTAATTAACCATAACTATTTGAACAGTCTGCATGGTTTAACCGAGCTATAGATATGAGTACAATCAGTAAAGGACATTGTTAAAGTTCAGATATTTTCGACTACGACTGATATTCTTCAATCCTCCCAGTACAATTTATGACTGCATATTATGCCCGCATCAGAGCCTGCAGTTCTGAGCAATGCGTGTGACCTTCAACCAAAGAGGAAATATTTCAAACGCGAGAGGCCATATAACATAAGGTTGTCTTGCCCCAACGTTTTTTTTTGGTTAAGCGCTTTGTGCTTACCTCATCTTTGGCTTCCGAATGTTGACTGCGTCTGGACTTCTTGTTCTTGGGTTCTTGTGTACTCTTTTGCTGTAAAATACAACAAAGAGATTTGTGGTTTAGGATGTGGCACTGTAAGTAACCTGGATTGAAAAAAACACACTCTCACTGGGAAAGCAGCAACTTAAATGGCCCCTCGCACCTCTTTGGGATGCAAAGCAAGTGAGCCTGACTCAGTCGGCAGCATTCTTGCCTTTTGAGTCAAGCCCCCACCAACTCCTGTCAGCACTTTGAATCCTTACAGTGTAAGCTGACACTCAATGTGGTGTGGTATGTGGGTGTACTGCATTTTTGGAGACGCCGTCTTTTGGATGAGACTTTACACCCAGGAATCATCTACCTGGTCAGGTGGATGTTAAATATTCCACGGCACTACTGGAAAAGAGAAGGCAGCTTCCCCCACTGTCTTGGCCAATAATCCCCCTAATAAAATTAGTCAATTTGCCATGGCTGTCGTAGGACTTTATTATGCACAAATTGTCTGCCACCTTCACCTGTAAAATACTCAGTTATTACACTTTACAGTATATCCTGTGAAGCTTTTTGACAAGCTCCCAACGTGAAAGGTGCTTGATTAAATAGAAGGCATGTTATTATTCATCTGCATTAGTCTCTAGGAACCACACAGAAATATCGCCAACCTGTGAGAACTGAGATCTGACTCAAGACATTGTCGGATCAAACATCCCGTGGGTCACTGTGACATAACATGAAGTTTCCTGGGGGAAGCACTTGACGCCCTGAGGAGAATTACCCAGAGAGAGGGACCATTTACACGAGCTGTGTTCCCGATGAGCAGTTTTTCGAGCCCCATTGCTCTTGCAGTGCTTTTACTGCACAGCCTGTTTTTCAAACATTTCCGATATCTTGGGTGGGGAAAGGTAGAAGGTGGAATGACTCAGGAACCCAGACGACTAGATTGTGGGCTTTGTGTAGGACTATTGACATTTTTATTTACAACAACTATTTTTCACTTGAAATGGGGACCACCTTTTAAAAAAAGAACGCCTTCAGGCCTTTCGATCGTTCATCCTCGTTCTCACGCCTCTGAACCCACTCAGCTCCCCCAGCTCTGGTGTGCAGTCAGCTCTATGAAGTGGTTTGAAACTACCCCCCACCTCCCCTATGTAAATGTTATTCATGATCATTGCAAACATCAGTGCAAAAGTACATCTTAAAAAAGCCAATTAATTGCCTTGCTGAAGCCCTCACCAGCACTACAATTTTGTCTCCTGCCGCTACTGAGCCAGTAATTTTGCTATTGGCTTGAGAGTAAAATATCCTGTAGATTCACTCCTTAGTGACATGACTGCCAGCTGTTTTGTTGTGCTCAGAGCTTCGAATTTTTTTTCGCGAGTATTTTTAAGTTGATGTTACAAGGGATTTGTGAGAATACTGTGGGAGATGGTTTCGACGAGCGTAAACACAACTGGAGGCAATACTGTAAAAAGCCTTGTGATAACTCGGTACCAAGTCAATGAAATCACGACCAGCCTCATAACAGGGCACATTCACCAGTCAGGCCACCGCAGCATTGCCAAGTCACTGATTACACGGTCACTGCATGTGACGGCAGAAAACAGCCAACTTGCAGCACTAAAAAAAGGCCGACTTGATGATCCAGAACTTTTTCTGGATCACAGCGACCGAGTCATTTTCTAGATCAGCATTTTAAACAAGCAATGATCAGTCTTTCTTTAGATCGCAACGATCCAGTCTGTTTTCATAAGGATCCAGTGTTTTTTCTGGACCGCAACCATTCAGTCTTTGCTAACACACGCAATCTGTGGTTCCACAGGGCACCCACACGCCAATTGGATTAAGAATCAGATTTTCTCAACTGCACAAATAAATATATATAGCTAAAATATATCTAGTTATTTCAGCATAAGGAATATTTTACATTTCCATTCTTGCTTTCTATTATCGAGCCGGCCTACGGGAATCGCTGGCCTAAGGGAAAAATCATTGGCCTGTGGGAATGTAGCAGGAATGGGCAAAGACAACTCATTTCCTTTATTGCGTCTTGTGGTATCTCACCAGTGGCCAAACAACGATCAGTCATTCACTTGGAGACTAACAACTTCCTCTTATAGAGTCAGCAAACAAGTGGAGTACAACACAATGTGTGCGGCAACAGCAAAGAAAGTTATTCTGGAAGCTTCTGGAAGTTATATTCATAGGATAGAGGATACTTCACAGGAAGTGAACGCCCAGCCTGATGTTCTGAGCAGCGCTCTGACACCAGTGCCAAGGAAGGACATCCCCAATACTGGAGAGGATGCAGGCAATTTAGTCTTAAAATTTACGATTGTGCAGATAAAATTGGTCATTCACTTCTTGGCTATTTGTGGGACGTTGCTGTGCGTAAGATGCTGCTTTCATCTACAAAATGTAGCTTTTACACTATACAGTAAATCCTACCAAAATGTTTGCGACATCTTCTCCACATAAAAGGTGCTCTATCAAATGCAAGGATTATAATTATTATTATTACTATTATAATTAGCGTTCAGGCTGCAAACCCACCTGTTCGTTACTGGTGGAAGAGATGCTGGATTCTGCTTCTTCCTCAATTCGATCCTCCGCTCTACTCTTCCAGAATCGTCCTTCGTGGACAAAGCGCTGGTGTAGCTGAAGCTCATCGCATGCCTTCTTCCATCCTAGACTCCGCTTTACTGCCAGCTGGTGAACGTTAACATTAATGTCCTGGATGTTCTCTGATGGAATCCAGGCCCTGTCAACAAAGAGGCTCCAAGTCACAACTCATCTTTACTTCAACAAAGGGTAGCTAATGTCACATTAAGCTCAGAATTTAACCGCACCACAAAATTCGTCCTCATGATCGTAATGAATCATGCGGTATTCACACTAACAATGTGTTAATCTTACACATTTAAATCTTACGCATGCTGAAACAGAAAGGCGAGGTGGATATTTGCATCATCTACGGCTCTTACTCTCTTGGCAAGGACCTGGCCCCTGGCCTTCAGTCACGTCACAAGCAGAGGCCAAGGTCCTCCACCAGGCGGAATGAAAACGATGGAGAAAGTGGAGCAGAATTCACCTGCAGCTGCTCTTCCAATTCTCACAACAGACGGCTACAGAACAGTGAAGGCCTGCCAAGCAGAGTTTGTCAACGATATTGGAAGGAAGATGCTTTGAAAAGAGAAATATTAAGTGTACGGGGAGCGAACCCAATAGTGGGATTCGATTAGGCGACTCACGTGGTCAAAGCAAACAGGGCTTGATGGCTCCCATTTTTCTGGTGGAATGTTTTAGAATTCGATGTGCTACTGATTATTTTTGTTAAAAAAAAGAATAGAGTAAATTACATTTTGTACGTCACAAAAAATATTGCACGGAGATTTAGGTAGAAGACTTAATTAATGAAAGGCGATCTAAAGACGACAAATTAGTTTTAGTCAAAACATTATGCCACGGCAAGTGCAGTAAAAAATGAACTGAGCTGCAGTTCTGATGAACAGTCACAGACAGAATATTAATATGGCTTTCGAATGCTTATTATTTCCAGCAATTTCTCTACTTGTAACACATTTCCAGCGTTTATGAATTTTGGTTTTCATTAAGATAAACAATGTTAGTCGTGAGAAAAAGAGCCATCTCCAATTTTCCTAATCTCCCGTCCTTTGGATGAAGCATTAAACTGAAATCCCTTCTGCCTGTTCAGGTCAACGTTAAAGATCCCATGGTACTACTCAAGAGAAGGGAGTTTTTCCCCAGTTTTCTGTCCAGCAATCCTTCAAATAAAATTGTCATTCACTTCATGGTTGTTTGTTAAATATTGTTGTTTACAAAATTGACCTCTGCATTTGCTTACAAAATGCACAATCAAAGAAATTTACAATGCAGGAGGCCATGTGGCCCATTGAGTCTGCACCAGCTCTCGGAGCAAGTTGGTCATTCAATCCCTGTGCCCTATCTCCATACCTTTTCAAGGTTTTATATACCTGTCTACTGCCACCTTGAAACCCACAATGGACCTTGCCTCCACCACCTTATTTGGTAGGGTATTCCATATCCCCAAACTCTCGCTCTTCTGTGACTATCTTATATTTATGGCCTCCAGTCACCATACCAATGGAAATAGTTTCTCTCCATTTTACTGTCAAAAACACTTCACAATCATTACAATTACAGTAAATCCTGCAAAGCGCTTTTTAACACTCCCAAGACATTATATTTGTGAGAGGTATTAGGTAAATGCAAGTTTCTGTCCCCTTGGCACAGAAGACACTCTATCAAATACAATTAGTATCATTATTATTTTGTGCATCCAATACCAGCATCAAGTAGTGTCCCTAAAGTTCCCTTTACTCCAGTCGCTTAAACTCTATCCAAGCAACGTGCCTCAATAGTAACACCAAAAGAACACCCTAACTGCATTTCAATTTACATCAGCCACTCTGGAGCCTGAGAGACTGAAAATCAGAGGCATTCTGCGCTGTGAGTTCATGCCTACGCACTAGGAAATAGACTGGCACTGCCCAAACTCACATTTTATTGAACTTGCCGAGAGGTTTGGAATCGAACTAAGATACCAGAGAAGCGAGTGTGTTCTCCTACTGAACCACCCAGTATTTCACAATCATCACTGCAACATTTCATCACTAGGCTCTGCAGAACTAACACTGAAGCTTTCTGCAGAATTCCCTTTCTTACTGACTTCTTTTTTAAAAGCCAACTATTTGCTCCAGAGCAGTTTAAACAAAATTAGCAATGTAAGTCGCTGAAGGTTTGTGGCTGATATTGAACTTCGCACCTTTACGGAGGAGGAAAGCATCACGGTTAATTTTTTTTCAATAGTTATATAGAATCTACATTGTGCCATAAACCTTGTTCACCTTTGTTCAATTCTCTCGACATTTATCTCAAAATTTGATCCCAAATCCTCCAAAATAAATGACCTTATTTTACAGGTTATTTTCTACAAATAAGCAATAAAATGTGTGTTATCTAATAATGATACGATATCTAATATAATCAGGATATCAGAGTACTTCATATTAAGGGGCTATTGGAATACATGCTACATAATACTGGCAGTTAGGATTTAACAAATCAAATTGCTTAATGGACGTAACAAAGTTATCTTATCAACAACCACAGACTTTTAATAAAACAATTCAAGCACAAGTTGGTGACTTATAATTAATAATCCTTGCATTTGATATAGCGCTTTTCACGTCTTCTGGACATCTCAAAGCGTTTCACAGAATATACTGTAAAGTGAATTGACCGTATACTTGTGGACGAAACATGGCAGCCAATTGCGCACAGCAATGTCCCACAAACAGTCGTAGATTGAAAATGACCAATTTATTATTGTTTTTGGTGGGATTATTATTAAGCTCTGTGTGGAGTAAGGAAACTTGCCCAAGGTTTCGCCCTGCCGGGAATTGAACCCAGGTGACTCGCTTGCAAGGCGAGTGCTCTAACCACTGAGCTACAGGACTCCAATTACCGCTTGACTGACAGGGACAATCATTGCATGAATTCAGATTATCCAATGTGAATCGGCTTCCGTATTCCCAACAAGTACCACACTAAGTCCTCATGTAACTGACCTCGTGATTATTGAGTTCAAGTGTTCGTTACGACAGGGACTCAACAACATGCAACTGCACTTAATTATTAATTATTGTGCAAGTATGGATCTGTATACACAAGGACATAAAGTACAAAGATCTCCAAAGTGTGCCAAATGACGCAGTAATAGCTCACGTAACATGTGGGGAGAAGCAGCAGCCACTGCCAACTGGGGAAGCCAGCCAGTTAAGTCAACCAGCCAAAGTTCAACAGTACTGTACATCCTTATACAAATGTCATTTTGTTGTTGTTGTTGTTTATCACAGTACATCTTATCATCAGTCAACTTCAGGGAATTATTCTCCGTGGCAACTCACCTTACCTGTCGCATTACGGAGACTGTTTTTGCAAGTGAAGTATATATAGATTCAACTGAAGATGGGTTAGATAATTATCTCACTTGCGCAAGTGGTGACTAACAGATCACTGACTGATAAACTCTCAGCTCCCATCCACCAAAAAGTGGCATCGTGGGATTGTTTAAAAGTAATATGAAATAAAAAGAAAATAAAGCAATAAAGCAGTTTTGAAACAGTTTTTTTNACATGCAAGGAAGGCTTTGGCAGAATGTAACCTGTCATTGAAACGGAGTGTAAATCTGATGTGAACCTTTGCAGTAAATGTAGATTTATCAAAATTAATCAGTTTTAGGTTCAACCTCATGTTTTATGCTTTCACCAAGTTAAAAATGTATTTCTCATGCTATTCGCCCACAAAATATACAATCAATTCACTTTATAGTATATCCTGTGAAGCCCTTTGAGATGTCTCTAAGATTTGATAAGGCGCTATATCAAATGCAAGGTTTATTATTATTATTGGGAGGGGAGTAATTTATTCAGCATTTTACTAAAACAAAGTTTCTTCAGTAAGTTGCCAGAGGACTATTTTGAGAAACAGCATAACTGGATTAAGAGATAATATTTTGGGAACGATAATAATAATAATCCTTGCATTTGATATAGCGCTTTTCACGTCTTCTAGACGTCTCAAAGCGCTTTACAGAATATATTGTAAAGTGAATTGACTGTATCTTTGTGGGCGAAACGCGGCAGCCAATTGCGCACAGCAATGTCCCACAAACAGTCGTGGATTGAAAATGACCAATTTGTTATTGTCTTGTTTTTGGAGGGATTATTATTAGGCGTGTGGAGTAAGGAAACTTGCCCAAGGTTTCGCCCTGCCGGGAATTTATGGGATAGAGGGAAAGACAGGCAGGTGAAGCTTAGAACCAAAAAGGGATCTAACATTTAGACCTTTAATAGTGAATGCAGTTCCTAAAAATTCTTTCAAGGTAGATGACACCAAATGAGATAGACCAGCATTTGGTGTTGCGAAATATCCTAGCTGGAATTGGTATTTTTGTAGGAAGAACTTTCCAAAGAAAATACATTTTAAAAAATCTTCATAGAACAAACAATTGTATAAGGAAACGCACTGTGAAATCGAAGTATAAACCCTTTAGTAGTTTTCTAGACGTCACAAAGCGCTTCACAGAATATACTGTAAAGTGAATTGGCTGTATATTTGTGGGCGAAACCGGTAGCCAATTGAGCACAGCTGGGTTTCACAAACAGTCATGGAATTTTTTTTTGAGGAATATCCCCGGAAAAATAATCCATCTAATTCCAATTGGGTTACTACTTACTGGTGGATAAACAGAGGTGTGTGGAGTAAGGAAACTTGCCCAACATTTTGCCCTGCCTGGAATAGAACCCAGGTCTTTCGCTTGTAAGGTTAGTGCTCTAACCACTGAGCTGCAGGACACCACTATATATATGTATATATACTCCACTGTAGACCAACTAAAGTAGCTACCCAAATAACTACCTTAATCTGATCCTCTTTAAAGCTAGATAATTGTCGCACATGATGGGACGGACAAAAGGGCCCAATATCCTGCCCGTATGAGCCTGGACTGAGGAATTTTCGCCTGCTGAAAATCTAATTGAACACGCAGCAAATGCGTAGCAGGCTAAGAAAATGTGCCCTGCCATATTAAGCACAGATTTGAAATTTAGGACATTGTTAATTGGATCTTTCAGCTTTTGCGGTTAAGGACCACACAATCCATTTCCATGATTGATGTCAAGGAACATTGAGCAGCTATCAATCCAATCACATCTACTGCTCAATCCTATGCACAAGAACAGCAACAATAAGATATTACTGGTACGCAACTAATCCACTCTAGATTATGTTCCACACTATTCCGTTCAATTTTGTTCCTTACGTTAATTTGCTTAAATGGCTTTGTCTACAAGAACCAGTTATGCAAATACACATTTAGCGTGGCAAAATGTAGTAAACTTTCACTACGTTTTTTNAAATTGACAGGTTTGCAAATAAATGAAAGTACTGCACCTCTGATGATGGTGTCCAAAGAAGCGTACGTCCACCTGATTTCCGGAACGTTGCATGACTTTGGCAGGCCAAAACCCAAAGCCTTTCATCCGAGCCCACACCAACTCATGATTGGGAACCTAAAGAAGAAAGCCCACCTCAATAATGGAATACTTGCCTTATACAAAGAAATGAAGATACAATTAATGCGTCACTAAGCACTAAATTTAATTCTTTGCCACCCTGCCATAGGCTTGTTTGCTAGAACGTTGGCCTTGTGAAAATAATACTATGATCGGTTATCGTTTAAAAAGTACTAGTAACACGAGGTCACAAAGCTTCAGACATATCAAATCATCATTTGTCTTCCTTTACTTATAACCTGTTACATTACAGTTTAAAATGAATAGAAAAGATTTCTTTTATTCACTATAATAATATAGGAACAAATAGCTACTGCGGGATATAAACCAGCATATTTAATCACAGGCCAGTTTCTCAAAAACAGCTCACAATTTGCCCCTGTGGTTTGCATCATTAACAGGACTATTCAACTGACTATTTCTATTCCATTGACTGCTGCCTTGTAATTCATTGTAAGATATCATACTGGGATGAAATTCGCCTTCCGTGTAATATTTATCACATCTAATGAGCTATCCCCTCCCCTCTTCTCCATTTGTACAACATTCGCAGTGGTAGGAGTCAGAGAAACTGGGTCCTATGGCATTGGATGTCTAACCCAGGACATTCAACTGCTGTGAGTGGGTTCCTAGATGTTCTGAGTTATTTTTATCCACTAACCAGCTGCCGAAAGTCACGATCTACAAATCAAATACTGTTTCTCCCCTTTCGCTATTTGTCATTCGATGTTAAGGACCAAGAACCGCAAATTTCATTCCATTAAATTTGAGTTCACTTAGAATAAAACGGTTGGCATTATTACGTTAATAATACAGTCTCCCTCAAAACTAATGGTTGGGTGAATACACTGCATCTTTGGCATATTATAAAGACTCTAGAGTGGAAACGCAGTTTAGGGAAATCATCAATGTAACCGAATAAGTAGTGGCCCCAAGACAGACATTTCAACAGATGCTTTATCATTGCTTCTTTTGTGAGTCTGAAAGCATCTGCTAACTATGGAAAACTCATTACTTATTACAACTTGTCTAATATTATCACAGGCCCTAAAGATCCCATTAATAACAATACTCTTCTCATTAAAAGGCAACTCCATTTATCTAAATTGCAACACAAGCTGTGATCTGATCGCAGATGATCAATGAGGCTGTACTCCAAGATTGGAGAATCTTTGTGTTGCCACTGGAGGGAAATGCTACAAAAATCATCTGTTCTCAGGATGTCTCATATGTAATTTGAAACATAAAGGAATGGATCAATGACCAAGAAGCATCAGCAATATATACAGTTATCTCCCTTTAGACATTAAGTATTAAGCAACAATTAGTTTGATACAGTTGCCTCAATAATAAACTATTACTTTTTTTAAGAGATTATAGTAGAAGTAATGAAGGAATTTCAGAAACCATAATTTATAACTTAATTAGGGAATTTATCATTTCCACTTAATATTACAGAGTACATCATCGAGTGATTCACTGGGGGTCTTAATGTTTTTGCACCGCTGGGGCTTTGTTGTGAACCCAGCCCAAACCAAAGAGATGAAATAACTGTTAAAGCCTATATATAGTCCATGCTCGTCTCTGCAGCTTAAAATGGGTGCAAAGACTCCAGTAGTTTGGGAACAGTGGCAGTAAATATCCTATTTAACTGAAAGAGGCCAAAAAAGTAATTTGGATGTAAAAGAAAATGTTAAATTGATTTTCAATATGGAGTCACCCATCGGGGATGGGCGGGGGTTATGGTACACCATTGTATACTGTATTTGATTGGGGTGAAAAAACATGGGAGACTTAAAATGATCCTGTGCTTTATGTGCTTAGAGGCCTAGAGCCAATCCCTGTTCTTGCAAGGGACACAAGAAATCATGAAGTGGAGGGATGTTGTTGCTGAGGAACAATACCTTTATTACATTGGACAGCGTCCTAGAGTTCAGCGCGTGCAGGTCAGATTGCGAGACTAAACTCAGAACAATAAACATTTGTTATTTTAATGCACAAGCTTGTGATATGATGGCGCAGCGGTGTTAATATACTGTGTTTTCACCTCCGGGACCAGTCTGCACGTAGCCTAGACTGATGAGATTAAAAACATCTTCATTCTTGAGTGAATGCAAGGTTCCTATTGGAAGTGAGTTTAGACAGTGACAGCAGCAGCTGGTCTGGGTTCAACACTACAAGAGGATAAGATTGTCAAAGTGTCACAAATCATAGCTAAAATTCTCAATATGGAATGGTTACTGAAGACAGCAAATGATCTTCTATGGTTGGAATTTAGGCAAACTGTCATGTTTGCAGAGAGAGGAGATTCTTCTAAATGTAGCTACATTCAACCCGAGTGCATTGTTACGCTCCAGGAACAATTCTGTTTCCAAAGGTTTAAATATAAAATATAAAACTCACTTACACAAGGGTAGCAAAACCAGTTCTCTGGTCGTGCATTTGACAAGTAGAAACAATTCTTGCACAGCTGAAGCTCTGCTAACTGGAAAAGAAAATGTAAACATCAGCAGCAGTTAGCCGCAAATCATTTATACCAAAATTCAAAGTAGGAGTTACCCCAATATAAAACAAACTTCTATATAAAACATTAAAAAATTCTTCACCAATTCTTTATAAAGGCTACTATTCCTTCCACAAAGGGCTATGAAAAAAATGGCTATTTAGTGCAAAAACAGACTACTTATCAAGTAATACAAAAGATTAGCAAAATATTGTAACTTATGATTTATCATAAAGCAAAAACATATTGCAAATTGCTCTGTGTATTTTGCAGGGATACCAAACCTACTAATAAACCTTTCACAGAATGAGAGTGAAAAGGAGAGCCTCTGTGGTGTTAACATTCAACTGGAGAAAGTTAGCTTTCATCAAGAATTTGGTCAATTGTGAATTGCTCCTTGAATAGAGTTTGGAGGCAGATAGAATTGGGTGTGAAAGTTAACCCTATTCCTGCGGATGACATTGCTGAGCGGGAAAACGTAAATATTAAAGATGAGATCTGACAGAATCATAGAAATTTACAGCATAGAAGGCGGCCATTCAAACCACCATGTCTGTGCTGGGTCTTTGAAATAACAATCCATTCAGTCCCATTCACCTTTAGAATTTACCCTTTAGAATAAAAATATGATTTGTACAATTTATAGGATTTTTTAACTCCTTCGGATTCTGTTGCTTACCTCGTGACAAGTATCTTTGAAGAGAGCCCTGGCTACTTCTGCCTGGTCACTCTCAGCTGCCAATAAAAAAAAGGAATAAACATGGATTAACAAAAAAATACATTTAAATATTGAAAGCTCTCTCTCTCTCTCCCCCCTCACCCCCTCCCCGTCTCTCCCCAAAGATTCTGAAATTATATACTGTAATTTCTCTTTTTTGACATGCCAGACCTTGCTTACAAGCACATAACTTAAAAGCTTTTTTAATTAGGAAATAAGCCTGTGTGCTTTCTGGTGAGCAAGAGGGAACATGAGAGAAAGCACGCAAAACTAGGATGATCAGTGGAGTTCAAGCACATGGGTTGAGCATTTGGTAAGCGAGCAGTCTCAGACTATCCACGTCACTGAGAGATATGGTTACACATAGTTCTTGGTCTATACAAAGACAAAACGCTCCAGGCTTATTAAAATGTAATCTGTACCTATCTACTTTTTTTATTTACAGACTCCTAGGATCCTTGCCAAAAATGTAACGCATAGAGAAAGCTTTGTGTTCTCTATCGCACCTGGATCAAGTGGCTCTGTGGGGGAGCTTTGGTGTGGAATTGCTTTTACTTCCCAGTTTATTAACCACTAAAGGTCCAGCAGATCCAGAGATCTGCTCCTAACGTGCCGGAAAAAAAACTTAGTGATAAGGTCTCTTAGATATCATGAGCACCGTTACAATACAGAACTAAATTAAGGCAAATTGTTCTTGAAAATGTACTTTTGTGCCACCTCATCTCTCCCTACCCCCTAAAACTGTATACCCTCCTTTTTATTTCGAAAGTGTTTTAGTTTTTTATTATAGGTTGTGTATTCAGTATTGACTGTAGTCTGACACATTTATGTTATACAGAGGCTGGAGTACTTCCCTGCCAGTGTTCCTTCAGATGTTAAATCAAGGTCCGACTGTCTGAACAGGTGGACATTTATGATCATGCAACACTTCAAAAAGAGAAGGCAATTTCTCCCAGTATCCTGGCCAACAATCCTTCAGATCAACTGCTCAGTCACGTTATGGTTGTTTGTGGGGCATTGCTGGGCACAAATGGGCTACAAGGCGGAGGGATTGAGGGAGTGTTCCATAGTTTCGGGGTGTAGTAGCTGGAAGCGCGACCTCCGATGTTGGAGCGGAGGACGCGAGGGACGAGCAGCAGGCCTGTGCCAATCGAGCAGAGGCGCTGGGTGGTGGATCGGGGGAGTGAGGAGGTCGGAGAAGGTAGGGAGGTGCCAGGGAGTGAAGCGATTTGAACACGAGTGTGTGGATCTTGAAGTGCTGCACTTCAAGCAGTAATGTGTACTTAGTTCCAATTAAGCAGCCAGACAGTGGCCTAGCTCCTATTTTCTTTCTACTAATGATGCTTTATAAGACAGGGATTTTGCAAGAATAAAATCGATCAGCTCTCCCTTACATTTCCCCAGGGATCCAAAGAAAATGCACTGTTCTGCCCCACAATAGTAACTCACTTCATATGTGTGGGTGACTACTTGCACAAAACTGCCACACACCAGCACATTCAGCAACCGTGCCGTTAGGTTCTGTTCTCAAAAAAAATAAGATTGAATAAAAATAATCATCTCACCTCCATAGAAAAGTATGGTGTTGTGAAGAAGCAACTGGGCATCAGCTTTAAACTCCTCAAAACTTTTGTACTTGTTTTCACTCACTTTCTGCAAGGCAAATCAAGAAATAAAATAAAATGGTATTTGACCACTAAAACAACTTGCCATTTCACCTCCGAGACAGACAGTGTCCCTGAGGTTACAAGACCAATGCTCTTCCCTAATAGCCCAATATTCTTAGCAGGAGCACAACATTGAACATTACTGTGACACCTGCCCTGAATGGAGCAAATTGGGTCGTTGTTGTGTTTGCTGCTCCACCATATCTCTAACCCTGAGCTTTTCGCACTCATATTCTTCAGTAAATAAACTGGACTGATGGATACAACAAATTACACTTGTATAGCGCCTTTCACATCAGGAGGATGTCCCAAAGTGCTGATGCTCTACTTTAAGCATGACCTCCTTCAGTCTTTGAAGGACGTTCGACTTTTAAATAGAAAAGAGGAATTTTTGTCAATCACACCCTCCCAATTCTTCACAATGGGATGTGATTTGAGATGTATTTGCCAAAGGTGCTAAGTAGTTTCCCAAAGTGGAAAATAAAAGTCAGAAGTCAATGATCTCCAAACCAGCTGCTGAGTCAATGACCTGTAATCCAGCTGTTTTGAATCAACCAAATTACGGTTTTCCACCCCTTTTTGGAATAATAATGTTTCAGATGGTCAAGAGATTAACACGAGGTCATGGGACAGACAGCCAAATAGTTGGGATTAACTACTTTACAGGGAGGGTGGTGAATATGTAGAACAGATTGCCCAGGGAAAAGCAGTGGAATTTAGTAGCAACTCCAGTTCCAAGGGGTAATTACACAGATACATGCTAGCAATGGAGTTTGGGGTGTAGAAAAGACAACAAGCAATCCTCTTTTAGAAATAGGACCAAGTCTTGAAGCCAACAGATACTCATAAGAAATCGGTGAACTGTATTGGTAACTAAAACATACAAGAAACTATGGCATTGATGGGTAATGAATTCAGATTATAAAATTAGATACTGGTCAGACTTTTGCCGTGCTTTACCTACCTCTTGTATGGTGGTAACATCCATAGGTGTGTGCACCAATCTTCTATACATGGGGTGTTTACTCTCCTTTCCTTTTTTACCAAGTTCTGTAGCCTGTAGAGAATGCAACAAAACAATTCCATTTATTTGGCAAGTTGGAAAATTGGAATTTGAAATAGACCTGAACAGATTTTCAATATAGGATACTGTGGATCCTGGATTAGTTACTGTAAAGTTAATTGACTGTATATTTTGTGGGTGAAACGAGGCAGCTAAATTGCACACAGCAGTGTCCCACAAACAGTCGGGGATTGAGTGACCACTTTATTTTTTTTTGAAGGGATTATTACACCCAGAAAGCGATCCACCGATCGACTAACAACTCGGTTCCTACTTTCTGCTAGGTAAACAAAGGTGTAAGGAAACTTGTCTAAGGTTTCGCTCTGCCTGAACCCAGGTCCTCTTTATAAAGATACACGGTACAGTCTTTTTGAGGTTCATCTTTTTCTCCATATATCTTTACTCTAAAAACATGCACAGCTTCCAAAGAGTTCAGCACTGTCTCTTAGACCTCTCTAATTACATGCTGTAAAGTGCACAGGTAAATGGTCGGTGTGCCTGAACAGAACTCTGTGGATCAATCTCCCTCTGATTGTTCCATCTCAATAGAATTGCTGCTTCAGACCATATTAACTGAGATCAAGCATTCAGTGTGGAAAATCTCAGGTGAACGCAGGTGTCCCAAGCTGCAACACAGTATATTGCAACACAATACACTAATGTAATGTGCCAATAAACTCCTAAAAAGTCTGTCATTGCTTGTATTTCTGTGCAAAATTGTTTATTAACTAACTTAAGCCTGGTTCCCTGTATAAGTCCTTAGCTGATAAGAAAAAGCTATTTCATCACTATGATGTTTTTCATCATACCTTCTGTAAATATGTAGAAATCTTTCTTTTCATTTGGTCACTCATACGATTTACATAACAAGGATCATGAGAGACATTTTCAATTAGATTGTTTTTAATGATTTAGAAATGAATGCATTTTAATTATCATGAAATTGGTTACGGTTTGTGAGGAAACAAAATCCCTTTCTCCGTTTTCATCCTTATAATAATAATAACCCTTGCATTCGATATGGCGCTTTATCGCATCTTCGAGACGTCTCAAAGCGCTTCACAGAATAAACTGTATAGTGAATTGACTGTATATTTTGTGGGCGAAACGCGGCAGCGAATAGCGCACAGCAATGTCCCACCACCAGTGGATTGAGTGACCACATTACTTTTTTAAATTATATTTATTATTTTGAAGGGATTATTATCCTTGGAAAAGTGGTCTGCCAATTGACTAACAACCAGGTTCCTACTTACTGCTAGGTAAATAGCGGCGTGTGGAATAAGGAAACTTGCCCAATATTTCACCCTGACTGAGAATCAAACCCAAGTAGAGATTCTCTAGATTTACATGTAAAGTCAGCAACAAGTTAAAGGCAGTCTCTTGGTTTTCTGTATTCTCTTACATGTGATGCATCTGCCTACATCAAACCAGTCTTGTATGAATGAGGATAATACTGTAGGACCTGTAACCTAAAGATTTCAAATGTCCATGTTTGTGCTTATCTTGATATACCATAAAGCAAAATTAATCCCTTTTTCTGCTCTAAACTGAAAATGCATCAAAAAATCCAATTAAAAAACATTACAGGATTACTCTGATAATGAATATCAATGCCAGAAGAACACCTCTACTGAGATATTTGCAGTTCCAACACAGTTAAATTCACAATAACTTGGGACTGTATACTCATGTACACTGTAGTAAATTAATAATAATAATCCCTGCATTTGATATAGCGCCTTATCACGTCTTCGAGACGTCTCAAAGCACTTTGCAGATTATACTGTAAAGTGAATTGACTAATTACCTTTACTAAACCCACTTAACCATTAATAAACTAAGCCTGAGATTTATTTGACTACCCTGAATTAAACCCCAAGTCCCAAAGATTCTGGACCTGTTTCTACGGTTAATATAGACGACAAACCTGCCTCATACAAACTGAAACACAATCTGTTCTGTACGCACTTTTGTCTCTTCTTTTAAATCAACAACTGTGAAAACAAACAATGAGTGAACTACAGTTGGAGCCAACAAATATTTAATTGAATTATACAGAGAATATTCGGGATTAAGAGAAATTCATTCCACGAGTGGGGAGAACCAACAAAAAAGATCAAATCGAACGCATTTAATTATCGTGTTGGTGTGGTCTAAAAAGTGACAGATAAGATTACCCACCTTGTATGGACTTCATTCTTCAAATCAAAGACATCGGCCACATTGAGGATTGAGTTCCGCACTGGTACTGGAAGATTGGGAAATCCACCATAAGGGACAGCCTCCCATGAAGATAATGTTGACACTATAACATTGAAGACACCCCCCACTTACCTCCCAGATCTCCGTGCTGTGAAAATAAGACAGGGCTTTCCAATGGCTTTCAGTTACTTTTAGTGCCTTACCCTACTATCGGTCTCTGCGCTCTCTGTCAGAGCCTAAGGGAACCAGAAAACCAGAGAAGAGTATCGTGTGGCAGATGTAGTTGTTATACGGATATAGGAAGGGATGCGATGTGACTATTCAGCACATCATAGCTCATCCTTTACTGCAGTGTTCTATCTAATAAAGCATCAATCTTTTTGCTTCTACCACCCAACTGTTAGCCTGTTCTCAACAGCTACATCAAGTAACAGAAGTTTCTGAGCAGGGTTTGTTGAGCCTAGTGGAACATGTGGAGGCTTGTACAGAAATGTTCTGGCTATACATCACAACATTTTTTTTGTTGTTTTCAAATTGCTGCTTCACCACATTGGCTGCCACTGAAAGTGATTTGTAACCTCTTTGGTTCTATCAAATGAAACTCATTAGTCGAACACCCAAGTAGGATGGACACCTATGATGCACTTTCAAAAGAAAACACAATACATTAGATTGGTCAGCAGTGTATTCAATGTGTTTTTTTTCTCTCAACTGCATACTCTTATGCTCTGGAGCTGTAAATTTAAGCTCTCGGGGATCAGGGGAAACTGCGGACATAAACATCTCTCCCGAAAGGAAAGTCTGTTGATCATTCAGGCTGCTACATCTCAGGTTCTCGAGCAGAAACTGGGATGATGTCTGCTGATAGATCTACAGATGGGTCACTCCAAACCATGGATGACTTTAAGGTGAACAACAACAACAACAAATTACACTTGTAAAGCGCCCTTCACATTGGAAAAACATCCCAGGGGGTTCGACAATCAGGGGTTTTGATTATATATCCACTTATATACACACCTCCTGCCACCCCCTCCCCTGGTTCGGAGTCAGTCTCCGCCACTGCTAAGCGCTCTGAAAAGCTACCCTGCTAATGTAAGTGCAAATTGTTGGTGTATATAATAATAATAATAATAATAATCCTTGCATTTGATATAGCGCTTTTCACGTCGGGAGGACGTCCCAAAGCGCTTCACAGAACACACTGTAAAGTGAATTGACTGTATATTTGTGGGCGAACATGTTTAAAAAGTCTGTGAACTTACATCATCTAATCTTGTAATATCAAATGTAATTATTCAAGGCCAGAAGATGGCCCTCTGTAATGGCTTTGTGCAGTTAAAGAAAAATGGGTACATTACACTGCTCACCCTGGCTAGTTAGAGAACAGCCCTTTTTGGGGGTCACCGGATGTCTGACACACGCAGCAACCCATCACTGTGCCTAAGAGTATCCGAACCAAGCTGAGATTTCCATGCAACCCACCTACACATGGAAATCGATAGGTTGTTGGAATGGAATGCGCACTCTCTCCCTGGAGGGACGCATTCTGCTTACCTAATTCTGGAAAGTACTAGGGACAGGTGAGAAGCTAAAATGGGGCAGCCTTTCACTTGTAGCCACAATTAACTCAAAATTTCATTAAGATGCATTATTTCTCTTAAGTTGTTATACGTTACATTGAAAGGCAATGCAATATAGGCAGCTTTTAAGATAATTGCAGTTGGACACAGTGCTCCAGGCTCGACTATGCAAACGCTCTGCTTGTCGGCCTTCCCAACTCCTCCCTCCACAGGCTGCAGATAATCCAGAACTCTGCAGCCCGTGTCCTCTCCCGCACCACACTCCGTGACCCCATCTCCCCCATTCTCGCCCGACTCCATTGGCTCCCTATCCTTCAGAGGATCCAGTTCAAGATCCCGGTCCTCACATACAAAGCCCTCCATGGCCTCGCCCCACCCTACCTCTGGACCTCCTAACCCCCTACCAACCCACCCGTTCCCTCTGCTCAGCCGGCTCTGGTCTGCTCCACGTCCCCCGACTCACCCGCCCCATCATTGGAGGGAGAGCCTTCAGCCACTCTGCCCCCAATCTCTGGAATTCCATCCCCCAGTCACTCCGCCTCGCCCCCTCCTTAGCCTCCTTCAAGTCCTGCCTCAAAACCCTCCTCTTCGACCATGCCATCGGCCACCCCGCTTCTCCTCCCCTTCCTTACCCCCCTGACCTCAGCTTGGGTCTGAAATGCTGTACACTGTCCAGCGCCTTGGGACGTCCTCCCGACATGAAAGACACTATACAAATGTAATCTTGTTGTTGTTGATGAATAAGGTGTTCTTTCCAATAATTAGTGTAGATCTTGAACTGTACCTGCTATCTAGGTCTTCCCTAGGTCTTTATCTAGCCACAATGCTATGCTTAGTCTGTTTAATGTGGAACATAGAAACTGAAGGTCTAAATTCCTTCACCTCTTTTTCTTTAACTGCACAAAGCCATTACAGAGGGCCATCTTCTGGCCTTGAATAATTACATTTGATATTACAAGATTAGATGATGTAAGTTCACAGACTTTTTAAACATGTTAACTCTGCATGTCTTGCTTATTTACTGTGCAATCTATCCTGCTTGGTGTGGGCACTGAAGCCAAGGCACATTTTACAGGTTAAAACATCACAGCAAAGACAAAGGAATCGATCCAGGCCTTTGAGATCCCTAATGCTCTTTATGTAGTAGTTAATACCTCTCTTTCACCAGATACTGATCAGTATAAAACTCGCAATCTGATCTATGAAAATGCAGTTATTGTTTCAGTGGTGTGGGGAAAAATATCCTGAAAAGCCATTGGAGAATCCTGCCTTAGAGACACATCACACAAGTACTGGAATTACGAGAAGGCACTTTCAGATACTATAGCATCAAAATAGTCCTCAGATGAGGCTGTCCCTCATCATGAATTCCCTAGTGTACTGGTGCAGACCTCAATTGTAGCTTGTGTGGAGCATGTTGAGATTTCCCAAAGAAATGTTTTTAGTGCATCAGTGTGGGTTTTGGCTAAGCCACCAGAAACGCAAACTGACACTTCAATCCTCTATACTTTATGGAAAGCAATTTCACTTCTCCAGAGAAACTTATTGATAATTCTATTCGCAAGATCAATGTCAGAAATCACAAGCATGCAAAGCTGCAACTTTTTTTAAAAAAAAATCAGTGAATCAGGTCAAAAGTGGGTTAAAACACACCACCATTTCACCCCTGGAGTTGCATTCAAATTCAGTCCAGACTGAAGTGATGATAGTTTCCACTTATTCAAGTGAAATGCGTTTGGGCAGTCTCCAACCAATTACAAGCAGACTGCATTCCACAGCATAAAAGCTGGCTGTAGTGTAGAACAAATCAATGAGGTTGGCTGTTGTGGGAAATGGAAAAAGATTCACACTAGTATGTTGGACAGCAGCAATGCTTTCAATGCAATATTTCATCTAGGGCACAGTTTTCTTCACCGTTAAGTCCATACAAAGTGAGGGAGGGAAAAGAAAAAGACCGGCAACTTATAGTATTATTAGAAGATGAAAATGAAATTCCAAAAGCACAATAAGCAAGGGTTGGTTCATTACAGTCATAGATGGAAAACTACAGAAAACAGTGTTATTTTGTTTGGCAATCTCACCCTCTCCTTCATGCGAGAAACAATGTATCCCAAATATGATCTCATAGCTTGTTTGCCTGTGTTTTTCTTCTTCATGCTCTAAAAACAAAACAAATGCATTTAAATTAAGGTCCACCAATAATCACAAATAGGATACAATTCCAGAGCATAAAGCAACGACAACTTGCAATTATACAGTGCCATCCACATAGCATAAGGTCTCAGAGCGCTTTACGTTGACGTGTTGAGCAAGGGAGGAGGTCGAAAAGTGAAGTCAAAAGAGGAAGGTTTTAAGGTTTTAAGCGCAGGAAACGGGGCAAGTCTACCACCTCGAAGCAAAACCAGTGGCGTTTTGATACAACTACTGTGGTGAAATGTCACAAAGGGCTTCAAAGAGTTTCAGTAAATTGCAATGACAAGTGTGTATCTGCAGGTAAATATAACATCTAATTTGCACACAGCAGTGTCCCACTAACGGCTAATTATACTCACTTTGCATATTTGGCACTGCCAATGCGAACTGCTGTCCTGTGGCCTGACTTCATCCGGGAGACATTTTGGGTGATAGACACGAAAGCAAGAGTCGCAAGTCAAGACCTCTCCTGCCATATGACACTCCATGCAATACCAGTCGTGGTTTTCTACTTCCCAATCCTCCAATACAAAAGAAACAAGTTAACCAACTTAAGCACAAGTATTTAGAAGTGATCAGAAGCACATTTTTTTTGGGGGGGGGATGAGGGAGAGAGGCTGGAGAGAAAGACTGAACACCGCAAAGTGAACAATGATAATCTTGAAATGACAAATGAGTACTAACAGAACCAGTTTGAGTTATCAGAATGTCAACTGTGCTCACTGAACTGTTTTTGTTAAACGCAATGGCCATCCAAACCCACTTTAAGCCACTGAACACTCGGATATTTTGACATTTTTCACCACCAAAGTTAATCACATGGCAAATCAAAAAAAAATATTACATTAGGACTGAAGTCATACCAAGATTTCCTGGTTTGTTCTGGAGTTAATAATTTGGTTAAAAGTAATCAAAACCACACAATTATGCATCCATCAATCGGGTTTTATAGTGCAACAGTATGATGACGTGCATCCACAACCCTGTGGCTCTGACTTCCAACACCAGATGGCTCTAAACATTATTTAAAGACAGCAAGACTCCATTATACGATGTAAAACCTTCGTTTCTAACTCAAATGTTGTATAAAATGTAGCTGCAGAAGGCCAGGGAACTGAGATTTAAAGCATTTACCTTTAAATGCCCTTGGCGTTTTGCAAACAAATTTAAAAAATGCAGAAAACGAGTCCCTTGACAAAAGATTAACTGATTTTGAAATGTTCTGTCCAATATTTAGATTTTTAAAAAAAATTATACAGATGGAAAAAATTGCAGATAACTGGGCCAGGGCCAGTAGCGAAACACATTACTGAGTCTGTATTCCTACAGTGTAGGAAAAAATTGTGCTGCAATAGTATAGTTGCTTTTGTTAGGCTTTAAAAGTTACTCTGAGGGCTGGAACCAAACTTTTAAATATGCATGTCTCTGCCAAGCAAACATTCCACATGGACGCATTTCCTTTTGCTGCTGCTGTGCAGAAATGCCTTGCAATTTGATTCCACTGGTGCTGGAAGTCATTTTTCCTTCAATCCGTAGGAGTCCTGGCCCACAAGAAAACTTGGCTTTCTCTGCCCATTAAATTAGACTGTAGCCGTTGACACTGATAAAACTCAAAACTCTGAAACTGGTCCGAACACCACTGGGAAGGAAAGTCTGAAATCTCTTTTCAAAATGTCTCTTCTAGCCATGTCAGATACTGGGAAACAATTGGATAAAAACATTCGCCATCTTTAACAATTATAGGCCGCTTATAAGGTGCTTCTTTATAGCATGAATTTGGTTCTAATGTGGTTGTATTGTGGACCCTATTCACTGTTACGTGCGCACCAGCAGCTGTTTGCTTGCTTCCCCTGTGCGGGCGAGATTCCACAATCCCACAAAGAACGAACTGACTTATTAACCTAGAAGGTGGCCGGCCATTTTGGCTCCTCACTTAAAGCCAAACTCCAGGTTATCAGGTTGTTGCCGATGACATTTCCTGTTTGGCGTTGTGTGCAAAGCAGGAAGTTATCCGGAAGGTGGCCATTTTTCTTAGGTGGGAACCGGCTGGTATGTTGGGAGGCAAGACGGAAACCTGCATAGTGAAACCAGCTGTCGTGTGGATCCACTCACTGCCTGAGGAAATCCAACAGAATTCTTACGTGGAAAATGTCCAGAATCCACCTCCTCCTTCCCTGCTGGACCACTTTACTGACATGATTAACAGAGAGAGAAGCTGTGCGCACCGCACCCCTGGAGCTATTGAATTTGCTTCAATGAGTGTGCTAGCATTATATCAATTATATGTTATAGTAAACAAGAGTAGTCTTGCATTTGATATACTATTTGTAACATTGAAACCAATGTCTCAAAACCACTTCACAGGGAACTGTTGTTAATTATAGTGACTGTATTTGTAGGCAAACTTGCTAGTCAATTGGCATACAAAAATGTTCCACAAACATACGTGAAGCAAATGACCAATTTATCTGGGTGAATGTTGGCCAGCACACAGCAATTTGGTTAAAAGTATAGATTATAACAATGTCAATATCCAATATTGGCAGGGGAAATACTCTGAAGCAACACTGCTCTCTGTCATTAGGCGTTCTTCCCCTTTCCTTTAAACAGTTACTGACACAGATGCATAAGTCTCAACATGATCCATTACTTGCAGTGCTGAAATCTCAAACTTGCCCACCTGCAGTGGTATAACTGAGCTGCCCAGGTTACTGGTTAGGCTCCATACTCCATTGTCGAAAGCAGAAACTACTTTCCAAACTGCTTCCGTCCAGTCAACTTTGTGATATTTCACAACCAATCTGACGTGTTAATGAAAGCAGCAGAATTTCAGGCCACAATCACCTACAGAACTTCAAAGCACAGAAGGGCAATCTTTCAGCCTTATCGTGTCTCTGCTGGCTCTTTGAAAGAGCAATGCTTTTTCCCCCCATAACCCTACAAGTTACTCTATTTTAAGTATCTAACTAGTTCCCTCTTGAAAGCTAATAGGGATCATGGCTTGAGGTGGTGCATCCCTTTGACTGGTTTTGGGTGGGCTCGAAGATCTCCATGCTCCCAATTGCAGAGAACAGCACATTTGGTCATCAAAAATAGGATGATCTCGGACGGTATTCCGAAGAGCAACAGATCAGATGCTGCCTCTGGGTTTGTAAAAGTGTAATTTTCACGCACTTGGCCCTAAATAAAGATGTCCGCTGAACGACAGAGTAAGTCACTGTAACTAACTGGCAGTTGCATTTACACCTGAAATCAATCAGTGGTTACGGACTGAAATTCCAGTTTCTTAACAGATTCGACGCAATACTGTAATCACTTCACAACAAATTTGGAGTGATGTTGCAAATTTCACCCCCAGTGTTATACATAGTGATAACCAGAAAAGAAAATCTCAAGGAAAAAAAACACAAGCAGCAACAATTCTTGCATTTGATCTAGTGCCTGCCTTAAAATGTCTGTGTTTCAGACAATGAGTTATTCAAAATGTAGTGACTTCAAATTAATTTGATTTAAGAGGTTGCAGTAAATTCTGTGAAGTTTTAACCCCATCAGTGCCAAGCAGTCACCACTGGGAACAAACCATACTGAAGGCTGCACTACACTTATAGAAAATAATTTCCAAAATAAAAGGAGCTGCTTAATTTTAAAAAATCAAATGCATATTTGTCAAAGATTAAAACAAGTGCAATTTAAACAATGTTTAAATTTAAATTTAAGATAAGAATATCAAATTATTCCAAGGAAGTGCACAATAGCAACAGTGACCAATTTCACAGGTTTACTTGTGTTGTAAAACCACACAGGACTGTTTCTAGATGCACTTCCGATAACCTAGAGAAAATAGGTAGTAGCTCAGAGAACATTCAGATCTATTTACTGCATTTTACAATTTTACCAGTGGTTTCACAATCTTGCTCCTCCAAATGAGGACAGTTAAACCACAGACTTATAATGTGAAACAATGCAGCTTTACAGTTGCGTATATGATCATGAATTTTTATCCTTGCAATCCGATGTGCTTTTCCTGGGTAAACACGTTCGTGCCAGCAGTTTGAATGGTACGTATGTAATAAATTCCAGATAATGGCAATGCTTACAATCTCGTCCCCGGGTAACCAATATCCTTCTTGCTCGATTCCTGCCTTTGAACCCTTACAACCCACAGTCAGTGTCTCAACAATCAGGCCGTCTTTTACTGCAAGGCTCAGCTGTCGATTGGCGTCCTTTGGGTGCATACTGTGAAGGCGCGACATGAACCTAAGGGGAGACCAAAGACAATCTCAATTATCACCGCTAAATAAAGGAACACCGTGCATTACCGACATAATTGTCGTTCTAGCCACATTATAATGAGCTTTAAGTACATTCTACAAAATATTACTATCCTATAAATCAAATAATCTAAGGAATAAAAATGTTTACTGCACACATATTGACAGAGCATGCATAGCAATGTAGAGCTGATTGTCAGAATTGCAATTTCAAATTAGGTTGCACAAATGCCAATGGAAAAAAAGTCTATTAAACAGGATGCATTCCAGTAATTATTCAACACATTCTCCCTAGAATGGTTGCAATGAATGGTAACATTACCAAAACAGATGTTTCTTATCCTAAAATGGAAGACATTCAAACAATATTCTCTGTACTGGGTTATTAGTAGAATGAAACTAGTATTAGAACCAGTATAAAGCTGCCAGAAAAAAACACAAGCAGCATTTGAAATTGGCATGAACATTTATATCAATGCTCACCCCTGTAGGATTTGACTTGAAAACATTTTCAATCTGATATTATACAAGTAAACAGACATAGTTTACCCAATATACTCAGCATAAAACATCCAACATTACATTCATATCAATGTATAAACAACTACTATGTCATAATTTTAAGAATGAAGTAAAAGTAGGTCAGGAAACTGTTTAATATTTGTGTGAGTTTAATGAAGCAGCAGAGGATCTCTGAAGGATCACTCCACAGGAGGTCATTCCTTGCGTTTAATATAGTTCTTTTCATGTCAGGATTGCTCAAAGCACTTCAGTGTTTTGCTGTAAAGTGTAGTGACTGTATTTTGTAGGCAAATCGCCAACCAATTGCACACAGCAATACTCCATAAAGTCATGAAAGGAGTGACCAATTTTTTTGAGATTTTTGGCCAGATACCAGGAGAAACTCCCTTTCCTTTTCAAATGGTTCTAAGGGATCTTTAACACTTACCTGAACAGACATCCAGGACCTTGGTTTAATGTTTCATCCTAACAACGCACTGGGTGCCAGTCGAGATTGAATTTAAGTCCCAATGTGGGGCTTCTACCCACAACCTTCAGACTCATATGGGAGAGGGCTACTAACTTAGCCAGGATGACAGCTGACAGTATGAACCCAGTGATAATCTGATGTGGCACTACAATCCTTTTTTTTTATAAAGAGCATTTCAGTCTTCACCACACCTCTGTCTCTTATTTATTCGCCTGAAAACTTTGGAAATCATGGAGGAATTGATACTATGAACCAAGGGAGTGACTGGGATAAGATCATGAACTGGTTGGTTGGGTTCGCAGAGCAACACCTGGAGAAGCAAATTGTCTGACAAGCAAAATTGCACAGATTAACTTTGCGAAAGAATCTGTTTGATGTTTCTACTCCGCCTTTCCCCAAACATAGAGTTGTAGAATTTGCAAGTTTGCACCAAAACAAAATCCCATTTCCACAGACATCTCCTTCTGACAAGAATTGAATGGCAATGACGGAGATGATACAGTTCAGACAAGACTCTTCAGAAGTGATGCATCAGAATTTCATAATTTTTTCCTGTCAGAGTTCTAAATAACCTCCTGCGCATTTGCAGTATTTCTGCTTTTATTTGATGGAAATGTGAAGTTCTGGATATTCTGGAAATGAATCAGTCCAACCAAATATGTTCTAATGCAATGAGGTACAATATGAAATATAATACAATTTACGTTTATATAGCGCCTTTCACTTTGAGAGGATGTTTCAGAGTGCTTGAGATAAGTTCTGAACACAGTAAGGTTGCAGGTGAAAGGAAGAGTATACTGTATGGAAAAATTTACTTGAAGCTGGTGAAGGAAACTAAAGAATAACCCAACACAGAGTTTATTGAGGAGCTTGGGAGCTGATTCAGTCACCTGATTCCAGGAATATACAGCAATAAAAAGCCAGAGTCCTGAAGTTCACCTAGTTTTCACCTGTAAGACCATTTTGTCTTATACAATACAAATTACATTTGTACAGCGCCTTTTATGTCGGGAGGACGTCCCAAGGCGCTGGACAGTCAGGGATTTGGACCCAAGCTGGGTGGCCTTAAGATATAAGATCGAGCAGAATTGTGGAAAATTCTTAAAATTCTATCTTAATGTGGAAACCAGTCTTTTTTTTTACATCTGCGGAAAACTAGTTACCATAGTAAGGTCTCACTGACTAAGATGAGGAGTCACTTCAGGCCTCGGTTTTCCATTTTTTAGTGTGTGTCAGATTACAGGCCTAAATATTACAGTCACGTCCCTTGTGGCAAAACCCAGCTCCTCCCATAACATATCACTGAAGCGAAGGGATTCCCAGCTATAAATGAAGTGCTATAAACAACTGCTTTCATCTCTACAACAAGTGTCTTTTGAACTCTGTCTCAACTTTCGTCCTCCTATAGGAAATTAGAGGTAGGAACCAGATTTCTTCTCTGTAATTTCTTCTACATCTGCTCTAGTTTGAAAAATAAAGCTCGGGAACTGCCTCGTCGATGCCATCCGAAGACTATTTGAGAAAAGATGGCCACACCAAAATAGTAAGAGACAATAGCTGGCAGATTTAAATTAATTAATATAGAAACAATCAAAAACTAAATGCTCTGTGCACAAATATTAATATTGTTCATATGTATTGTATGTATAATATCCCAATATATAATACTGTATATATATCACAAATATTAGGAAGTATATTAGTCTGGTTCAGTTGGTATCAGAAGTCGCTGGGAACACAGGCAGCAACTATGGAGAAAGGAAAGTGAGTCAACATGTTCGGTCCACAACCTTTCGGCAGAAGACGTCAGAAGTTGACTCACTTTCCTTTTTCCGTAGATCCTGCCTGACCTGCTGAGTGTTCCCAGTGGCTTCTGTTTTCGTTTCAGATTTCGCCCACAAATATACGGTCAATTCACTTTACAGTCTATTCTGTGAAGCGCTTTGAGACGTCGAGAAGACGTGAAAAGCGCTATATCAAATGCAAGGATTATTATTATTATTATTTCTAGCGTCTGCAGTATTTGGCGTTCAGTTGGTATCACTCTTGCTTCTGAGTCAGAGGGTTGTGCTTTCAAGGCTCATGTAAAAGATCTGGAACTCATATTGTCTAGGCTGACACTCTAATGCAGTGCTGGGGGTCCTGGCCAAGAGGCCCCCAAATAAAAGTGGTCACTCATTTCATGGCTATGTGTAAATTCACTTACAAAATATACAATCAGTAGATTTCACAGGATATCCTGTAAAACACTTTGAAATTTCCAACATCTTTATCATAATCCTTGCTTTTGATGTAGCTTCTTATCGTGTCTTCAAGACGTCTCAAAGTGCTTCACAGAATATACTGTAAAGTGAATTGACTATATTTTGGGGGCGAAACGCGGCAGCCAACGGCACGCAGCAGTGTCCCACAAACAGTCGCGTATAAGAGTGATCACATTTTTTTTAAAAAAAGGGATTATTACCCCCAGATAAGCGATCTGCTTATTGGCAACAACCGGATTCCTACTTGCTGCTAGGTAAACAAAGGCGTGTCGAGTCAGGAAACCTGCCTAACGTTTCGCCCTGCCGGGAATCAAACCCAGGTCCTCTCATTTGTGAGACGAGTGGTCCAACCAATATGCTACAGGACTCCACAATCAAATGTAAGGATTATTGTTTTGTTTGTATTAAGTACACATAACTTAGTATCCGATCTTCATCTTGGTGATAGACTTAAGACAAAATAAGGACCAAGAAGTTGTGCAGTATTCATAATGCTTGTCTTATGTATGTTTATTCTCATAAAATACGCAGGACAACATTGAGCAATTTCAGACAATTTCAGGGTTAATGCATACAGAAGTATCTTCTGAGCAGTATCATAATTCACAAAACAGATTTTCTCACTTTGAAGTGTTTAATAATCACTTGAACATATCTGCTCAATAATAATAATGAAAGCTGCATACATCACATAGAATAATACAAATATATTTCCAGGAGGTAGCATACTTAGTATTCAGATTATAATAACAAATCACTCAAGTTTGCCTCAGAGTCTAGGATATTACCTGAATCCTAAGCATCATTGTCTATAATAGACTCAAAACTACAGTTAATGAAAGGCCTTTTATTTCTATTCAAAATATAACTTTTATTTACAGAGCACTGGAGAAGCACAGTTGTTCCAACGTTCTGTGTCAGACACTTGAACTCACAATATTTGTTCAATCTGTAGCGTTCCAAGATGCTACCTCGTATGAAAGGAACTATATAAATGCAAGTCGTCGTTGGCTCCAAGGCCTATATACTTCACTGAGGTGATGAGTTATCAACCAGTCCTGCCGTGGACCTCAAAACAAGACTAAAAGTGGCTGAAGGTAGAATTTCACAAATCAATTTTAAAGATTAGTAGGAAATTTAGTCTTCTTAATTTGTATTAAAAAATATTTTTTTCTTAAAAAGTGGTTTTAAAACTGTGTTGCTGTAGCAACACGTTTTAAGATTTAATACCAAATAGGGTCACAAGTTCACAATCCAGGGACTGAATCCCTTTTCAAAAGAAAACTGTTTTCCTCCTCTTTTGGGGATGAATTATTCTCTTAAACTGTATGACGGAGCTGAAATTCACTCATTTTTGAATTCCACTGATGTTCCTATCTGAACAAGCACATCTACAAAAAGCAGACTCAACAGTGATATACCTCGGATGTCTTTAAATCAAATTTCACCTGGGTCCACTCCAATTACTGTAACATATTGAAATAGTAAAGCATTATTCAAGTAAGGAACCTCAGTATTGTAAAGATTGTAGAAACAAGGGTTCACCAATATCACATTTTACAACCATCTATTCGTGTCCAAGGTCAATTTGCAGCAGAACATCCAAGTCAGTTTCAGTAAAAATTACTGTGGTATAATCATAGACCAAGTACTGAAAGAGGGCAAAGTGATTACAGTACAACAAACATGGAACAAAATTTAGAATTGATCAACACTGTAGCATCAAATGCTGGTGCTCTGCAGTGGAAAGCTCAAAACCAGTATAAAAGAAAATTTTGTCGTCAATTACCAGAAAAAAAATCACTTTTATTAAACGTGCCAGGAAAGACCACACCAGCAACATATGTACCACAGGATTCATTAAAATGTCATCAAACTTTAAACAGAAAGCAATTTCAGAATGAAGTCTAATTGAGGCAGCTCACTTTGCAATATGAAACAATTTCGAACAAGATTCTTTAATTAAGGGATAGTGCGTTCCTCCTTCAACTAACTGAAAGTACTTTGTGCCAACCTCTACTCTGAAATCAGACTGGTTGTCAGAGTGAATTTACCGTTGGTCTCCCGTCTCCTGAAGGAATCCAATTATAAATTGATACGTTAATACGCCAATGATTTGATAAATTCACACTATGTGGACAACCGACAGACAAAATGGTGTGGAAACACAATTACATATCCAGTTAGTGACTGAGTTCTCAAATTTTTTGAGGTCGTACACTGGTAAGACATGTTTACTTAGAAGCGAGTCCAGTTAAAAAATAATTGGCAAGTTTGGAAAAAAAAGTAATTCAACTATACCAATTATCATCTTCATAAATAAGCAACCAGACTTCTCTTCCCATTGGTATTTTTCTTAGCATAATAAATGTTCTGATTTGGAAGTCAACTAAATTAATGTTTTTCTTAGACAGACAGCTGGATTTTCATAGACGTCACCAGAATAATTTAATCCAGCAAATTAAAACGATATTTACTGTGTCTAAAGTCAGATGAAAGTGTTTTTCTCTATTTATCCCAATTTTCTCCCTGTTTATTCCTCTCTATCCCTGATTTTACGGTTTCCCTTTGGACCAAGAGAAAATCCTGCCTGGTAAACAGCAATACAATGGCAAAGTAATTATTTTTATCCATGCACTGATTATCTTGAGAGAGGGGGAGGAGGGAAAGCTTAAAGAGCCACTTGACAACACGCTGTCCAATGATGTCTAGTACATGAGACAACATGGTGGTTCAAGGTTCAAGTTCTGTGCCAAATCCAGCATAATCAACTACAATTATTCCGTCTTGATTGCTTCCAGTTTCTATTTTATCCCAGTTATATTCCAGTGTTGCGTTAAATGGCAGAGGATTTTGTTTAGGTATTTTAGATACAATGACAATGGCCATCAAGCAGGCGTGCTATCTTCTTCACTGCCACTGCAGCCTGACAAACCAACAGTACGTGAACCATGATGACGGAGCAAGTAATCAATATGGCTAGATCATGGCTGGCTAGGTTTCATTTTGATTGTACAGCACAAGATTACATTTGTAAAGCGCCTTTCACGTTAGGAGGACGTCCCAAAGCGCTGAACATTGTAATACATATGATTAAAAAAAACAATTGTTCAAGGCAGGATGTATCAACTTCCCAACCTTGATAATTCCTCTAATGTTTGCCTGAACCCTCAAAGGAAACTGGAATCACCCATTTGCGGATATTGAGAACTCTGGCCTGGATTTCATTTACGTCACACGTTCCAGATATTCAATATGTGGTACTAGGACACAGGAACGCAGATGATCCCAATGGTGTGTGATTGCTGGGGATCATCAATAACATGTTTCATATGATTTGTACCCCCTAAAGTCCTTTGGACAGAATTCCTTCCCTTTTTCCCCTGTAAGCACAGCCTCTTGTAAGGATATGTAGGTGCTCTGAGATGCTGCCTAGGTGAAGGGTGCTGTATAAATGTAAGTTTTTATTGCTGCTACGGTATCTCACAGCAGTGGCTACTCTTCACATGTGAGCTAAGATAGTAAACATCAGCATCAGTGCCAAGCTTGATCCTATTCCCACTCAGTGTCTGCACATTTGCACTTTCCATCAGTAATCAGGGTAGGAACCCTGCTCATCTTTCTCTCCAATTCATTGGGGGGGGGGGGGGGGGGTGACGAGGTTAAATACAAATGCAATTGTATTGCCCCAAATTAACACGACAGGCTAGAACCTGATTATCAGGGAGGGCATCATAGGGCATAAAACAACTTTTTGTGATATTGCTTTTTACTGACAGCAAAGTGAGCTAAAAATAGCAATTGAATCAATGAAGGTAGAAGTCAGCGGTCAAATTGGGTCCTAACTTCTAGGACAAGTCAATGATTCTTTCAAAGGCCAACTGTAATATCACCCATACATTTCTTGCAGACTTCTCTTCAATTTCAACTGCTTGGTTGGGTATTCCCAACTCATCCACACCAAGGCAAAAAAGTGCCTGGCAAGAAGCATGGGAAGGAAGATCATCAGTCCCTGTGTTATGTCTGCAGAATAAATCGGCTGCTGGTCAGGCTTCCGGGTTGTCAGGTTGTCACTGCTGTCATTTGTGCATAAGCGAGAGCAGCCAGTGAACACGAGCACTTCTGGCATACTGCAGGTCCTTAACCGGCCCGCACTATAAAGAGATAGGCACAATAACAAGTTGCCTTAAAACAAGGTCGGACTTTCTCTCTCTCTATATATGTACATATACAGAGAGAGAAATAATCCTTGCACTTGATATAATAATAATCCTTGCATTTGATATAGCGCTTTTCACGCCTTCTCGATGTCTCAAAGCGCTTCACAGAATATACTGTAAAGTGAATTGACTGTAGATTTGTAGGTGAAACGCGGCAGCCAATTGCGCACAGCAGTGTCCCACAAACAGTCATGGATGGAAGTGACCAATTTATTATTGTTTTTTTTTGAGGGATTATTATCAGGCGTGTGGAGTAAGGAAACTTGCCCAAGGTTTCGCCCCCTGCCGGGAATCGAACCCAGATCTTTTGCTTGCGAGGCGAGTGCTCTAACCACTGAGCTACAGGACTCTAGTTAACACGTGGCCCACAATAAAACCAGAATATTAGAACCAATCTTCAGATTTAGTATTTATCATGATGTCGTAGGGCATAAAACAGATGCGAAAAACATGCAATCCTTTAAAATGTTTTTTTCCGCAACTCAGAAAAACAAATGTACCCCAACATAGATTTCATCGCATTCAATCCCTCCTCATTTTTCAAACACACCTTGTACCCCAAAGTTAATGAGTGATATCCATCTCCACTGCTGAACCCTAGCCTCTTGCTTCCATTCAAAANCAACACCAATTCCAATCTCTTCCACACCATTCAATAAAGCAGCACATAGATCAATGCATGCCATGGCATAATTGTTCATCTCAGTCTCCATCTGTATTTCCAATACTACCCTCAAGCGGAAACCTCACCTTTTTTAAAAAAATACAAATTAGCAAATATAAAAAACGACTCACAAATCGTAGTAAAATAGTGCGACTCGCAATCAATAAACAGAGTTATAGAGATGAATGAATGAAGAGAAAGACTTTTCCACTTCCCTGTAAAGGGAAGCTAGTGAGATTTTGATTTATTTACCCAATAAATATGTGAATTACATATGGATTGAAAATGCAGATTTTTGCTCATTTATCCCATGCCAACAGGTTACCAAAGACTCAAAAAGGATGCTATTTGCTGGGTAGAAAATGCACGTAAACTCATTTTTTTTTAAAAACTCAGCTCTGCAAACTTTCAGAAACTATTAAAAGGGACATACTTTGTTATCCTGTCGAAGTTTGCAATTTGCTTCTGATTGCGGATGACTTCAATGGCATTCCAGAGTCGCTGGACCACTTGTGAGTCTGACTGCCTCCTTTTGGTTAGACGAGTCATGGTCTTATCTAGTCAGCGTGGCTGCATCAAAAGAATAAAGACAACAGGGTTAGTCGAGAAGTGATACTGGTCTTAAACCCTGGTTATTTATTCAGTTGCAGAAGGCAGACATTTAGACAATGGACTTTTTAGTATTTTTTCCTTTCTTTTGCAAAAAAGAAACAAAGGACAACCAACCAAATTTGGGGTGTGAATTTCATGCAAACGATAATTGAGAATGTAAAAAAAATTGCAGAAAGCTGGAGGGTGGCCACATGCAGAACTATTGAACTTATGACATTCGTGCCATGGTCTGATGAATTTGGTTTTCTAGGTCTATTTCTTGAATGTTTTATGCCAATGTTTCCCCCCACCTAAGTCACTTGAATTGTCAGATTTTCAGCATTCACAAAGGAAATGCAAAGCCAAGGAATTGAAAAGGGAAAATAAGTAAAAATGAAAGCAAGAAGTAAAAAGTTATAAACGATTAAAGAGAAACAAGAGAGAATGATGAAACTCAAATTTTAAAAATGTTTTATATAGCACAAGATAAAAGAAAGTAGAAAAGGCGCAGGCAGGAAATTATAGACATAAACCAACAAAATAATCAGATCATCTTCCAAATCTAGAAGAACTAGAAGCCAATGATAATCTAAACCACTGAACATAGTTTGTTACATACACACACACTCAAGGTGCAGCGTCACATCTAGCTAACCACTGTTATTGGTATTCCTCCTTTCTTCTCCCTCCTCCAAACACTTCTCTCTCCCAAGTAACTCAATGCTGCGCAGTAATCCTCAAGTAGACAGTTTTCCTTCCTCAAACTAGAGTTTTATTGGATGCTGAGGCCCGCTTATTCAAAGATCCGTCAAAGACTAACACTGCCGATGACATTCTTCCCAAAGCTTTGTCCCAGGTAAAGTAAGGTAGTAAAGTAAATTTCTTGAAATTAGTCAATACTGAAGATGAATAATTGGTGGAGCTGATGAACAGGTAATCCTCAAACAAGATACGACAATCAATTCAAAGCTGGGTTGTCATCAAACGTGGTTTTGCTACAGTACTGGTTGGTTTATGCCAACAACAAGATTACATTTGTATAGCGCCTTTCACATCGGGAGGAGCATTTCAGACTGAACAGCAGTCGTAGAATTGAAGGAGCCGTGAGATCAAAAAATCGTGAGTTTATGAAATTGTGGTTCTCCCTTTTGTAACCTGGGACCGAACTCTGCCTACCCTGACTACACACACACACACACATCACATATTGACCAACATGTCTCCTGCTCGTTCCTCATTCCCTGCATCCCACGTTTTCAACCGTTCCGCACCAGTTTTCAAAAGCTATATCCTAAAATTATTTTACCTTGAGTCTTCTCTCCTCCCTCTCTTTGGCCTTACCTTTGGCGCACATGCTCAAACTCCTCTTTCTTCTACCCTGCTCAGTAATCCTAACCAATTTGGTAAACCACTTTTGAGAAATTATTTTACTTGAAAGCTGTTATGCAAAGTTATGCAAGTTGTTGAAAACATGACAAAAACATACTGATTAAAGGATTAATTAGTTACTATACATCATTCCACACAATTGTTCAATTCATCTTTCCAAGCATATTGCATGTGATTGCTCTCTAGGAATACATCCAACCAGGATCTATCCAAGGATATCAATCAACTGAAACAGGAAGCACATGGCTGTTGTTTGTATGTACAAAACTTAGTTACACTTCCTTACAGTAGTACAATATCTACTAACTGGGAAGTAGCTTTTGTACTCCCTGAATATCTTTAAAAGTATATCTTTCTTGCTTTTCACTTAAAATCTTTGATCTTATGAATAAATATAATTTCTTGCATTTATACGGAGTAGAATAAAGTCTCAGAGCATTTTACATTAGTGGTCAAAAGATATGGCATTATTAGATTCAACCAAAAGTTTGATTTAAAGTTTTACAAATTTTAGTTTCAACCATTTTACTTTTGTTACTCATTAATGAACAGTTTGGTGTCAGGAGAAAGCAATAATAATAATAATGGTACTTGCATATGATATAACAATAATCCTTGCAATTTGATATAGCGCTTTCACGTCTTCAAGACATCTCAAAGCGCTTCACAGAATAAACTGTAAAGTGAATGACTGTATAGTTGTGGGCAAAACGCGGCAGCCAATTACACACAGCAGTGTCCCCACAAACAGTCGTGGATTGAAGTGACCACTTTTATTAATGTTTTTTTCTTGAGGGATTATTATCAGGCGTGTGGAGTAAGGAAACTTGCCCAAGGTTTCACCCTGCCAGGAATCGAACCCACTGAGTCTCAGAACTCCACGTCTTCCAGAAGTCTCAAAGCGCTCGAATGTTTTGAAACTGGTTATAGAATTCATTTAATTCATGTTTCAATCATTTTCCTTATATTGCAGAATATGAGTAGATCCTTGGAAACGACATTATGTACCTACTGCGCTAAAAAGATGGATATTCCTGAACTTGATCGAAACCTCAGGGAAAATCACCATGTGTTGCAAGACACTCCTTTTCTCTCTACCTGGTTTGAATATTATGGATGTCCTTAATTTCACAACAGAATCACCAATATTGGAAATTTGCCGTATAAAGATTGTGGCCCAATGCAACTTTCATCTGCAACTCGGCTGTGTATTACGGGAAGAACTGAAATATGAGGTATGTGCCTACAGGGCAGGAAACGAGGAAAGGGGGGGGAAATCATCAAAGAATCCAAGTTCTTAGCATCTTCCCAAAACCTGTGAACAGATGTGAAGATGCGGTCAGGACCAGAGGGAGAAATTCCATCCACCTCTAGCCTTCAGACTTGTTCGTTTTACAATTTATTGTGTGCACATTTGGGGGTAATTCATTAATTCTGTCTAATTTTGAAGCCAGGTTTCTGTAAATTCTCCCTCAGAATGGGTGGTAAATTAGAGGCCAACAGGGCCACAAAATCACAGATAAAAAAATCCACTTTTTTTTCCCTTCTCCTCACCACCCCCCCCCCACCCGTTCATCACACAGAATTTAATGCCAACAGGAGAATTCCTAGAACTGTATGTCTAGGTCTAGTATGTTCAACGTGCACTGCCTGAGCAGACAGCAGCTGCATATTCCAGTTGGCCTGAAATCTGAGCCTATTCCTCAGTTGGCGCATATAACAATGATGCGAGTCTGGCTCACGACTGCTCCCTTCACTTCACTTCCAACCATCTGAAAGGAGACAGGGAACTTGTACAAATTAGAAGTGTACAAGGGTTGAAAAGAACCTTTAAAAGTTTGCTCAGACCTGATCTAGATTTCCAACGTGAAAGGTTCTCTACCAAAGGCAAGGATTATTATTATTATTATTTCAACCTACACTGAGTTAAGTGTACTTGAAAACTTTTTTAAGCATTCGGACGAAAGGAAATGTCCGTCCGTTAGATGAGATGTCAAAGATCCTACAGCACTATTCAAAAAGAAAAGGCTTCCTGCAGCCAACAACTCCCCAAATAAAATTCATCATTCTTCATGGCTGTCTGTGAGACATTGCCAGTTGGCTGCAGGGTTTGTCCACAAAACTCAAAGCGCTTTATAGCAGATCCTGCGAGGCGTTCTGAGACTTCCTCCTGACACGAAATACACTATTATCAAGTGTAAGGATTATTATTATCAATAATGATTATTAAACAGGTTGGGTCAAGCATAGGTTACTAGTTGCCTCAAGTATTAATTTTTATCAGGGCCAGCTTTATTCAGCCCCCACAAGGTTAATCATGCATCCCTCCATTGCATGCCATTTTCCGCCATAACAACTTAGCTTTAACCCCTTCAAACAGTAACACAAATCTTAAATTACTTTGAGGGTAGTGGAGACGGTCAAAAGTGTGGAGGGAGGGATGAGTGGGGGCTGGAAGGGGAGCGAGAGGTGAGGACAGAGTGGCAGTAGAGGAGGTCAAAACGGCAAAGTGGATCCCCTCAACTTTGGACTCGAGGAAATCCACCATCTCCTTGCATTTGGTGTTGGAAGAGAGGAGAAAGAAGATAACTGAGGCTCTAGTATATATAGTGAATATAATTTTTATATACATATATACATATAAAAATATCAACTCTGTAGAGAAAGGAACCGTGCCAGAAGACTGAAGAATGGCCAATGTAATACTCATTTTTATAAAGTGCGATTGACCTAATCCAGGAAACTACTGGCCAGTCAATTTAATGTCGGTTGTGGGCAAGGCATTAGAATCTATCATAAAAAATGAATTAATTAGGCATCTGAAGGAGAATATAATTAAGAACAGCCAGCGTGGATTTACAAAAGGACGGTTATGCTTGACCAACTTTATTGAATTCTTTGAAGATGTAACAGGTAAACAACAACAACAACTTGGATTTATATAGCGCCCTCCACGCCGGACGGCGTCTCAGAGTGCTTGTAGACAAAGCAAATGCAGTGGATGTATTATATCTGGATTTCCAGAAGGCCTTTCATATAGTGCCACATGAAATGCTCACGACAAAAATAGGGGCATGTAGAATCGGGAAAGAGGTAGCAGTATGGATTAAAGAAGGAAACTGAAAGCAAAGGGTAGAAGTTAAGGATATGACTGGTAACAAATAGGAAGTCTAAAACTGGTAAGAAATAGGAAGTGGTGCTCTGCAGAGTTAGGATCACTAATGTTCACCATACACAAATGATTTGGATTCAGGTATAGGTGTGGTGTCAAAATTTGGAGATGACATCAAACTGACGGATGTGATGAGCAGTGAAAGGGATTGCAGAAGAACCTGTGAAGAAATGAACAGGCTAGCAGAAATGGCAGGTAGACTGTAAATGAAGCTTAATGAAGCAAAATGTCAAGTATTTCACTTTGGTGAGAAAAGTAAAGAAGCCATCCATAGTCCATTGGTAACCACTGGTAATATAACCTAAGAGGAGTAGAGATTTGGGGATTCAGATCCACAAACCTCTAACAGTAGCGACATTGATAGATAAAGCTATATAAAAGGCCAATGGGCTCTTGGTCTGCACATCCAGAGGGATGC